GACACTACACCTTAGGATCCACTAGGGAGTCAGTACCAAAGTGGCTGAGAACTCCTCTACACGCCTGCCACAGTTGTTCCTAAATCAGAACGGGGAACACTTTTCTCATGGTCCAAGAAGAAGCTTTCTTAGCCTGCTCTATACTGAACCCCCCTCAACCAAAACAGACATTCTGTGGGAGGAGAGGTCAAGGCACACCAACGTAAGGAAGGAGCTGGATGGGAATGTTTGTCACACCCAGGTCAGAGCCACAGATTTTGCTCTTCCCTAGGAACTCCAGCTCTCTATTGTAAAGAGGAAATGGGGAACAACCATTAGGCAAGTTTACTTGGAATATAGATTATGTGAAGGGGATTAACATGAAATAAGTCTCTAAGGAACTCTGGCTTTGCAGAGCTTTATGTTCATCAAGCTGAGGAATCTAGATTTCATCTTAGAGGCAATAGGGAGCTTGTGAAAGTTCTTGAACAGGGGAATGGCATAGACCTGTGTGCAGGAATATCGCTTTGGAATCTGTGTGTGAAAAATGAGGAAGGCAGAACAATAAGGAGGCCATCTGAATAGCTCAGGTGAAAGCTGATAAGGGCCTGAGTGAGGGTGGTGGCCATATAGTGAAAAGAAGTGATGGACACAAGAGATACTGTAGAGATAGAAATGACAAGATGTCAACTGACCGGACCATTTTTCCATGAGTGGAAAATTTTTCAACAAATTAGAAGCTGTTGACCTTGAAGACCTGCTATGGATATGGGTACCAGAAATGATATGCTTTTCCAAGAAGAACCCACCCCAGAGTAGTCCTTGACTTCACAAAATTAAGACAACTCTCCTTGGGGGTCTCACAGGCTGCTCTGAGATCAGCTGCACTGGACAACTCATGGTGCTCATCTTTGCCACTCTAGATTTGGGGATCATAACCTGGACTCCCCTGTGCTAGACAGTGTACCACTTTGGAAGGGCATTGCCTGCCTCTCAGGAGCAACTGACCCATGTTCAACTGCCATTCACATGGAAACCTTTTCTACTTTCTTCAAAGTTCTCATCTGAATATTTGCTACTACCACCAAGAACTGGACCTATGAGCAGCAGCTCCAGGGACCACCATGAGAACCTTCTTCCCATTCCTACTGACCAGGTCAAGCCTAGAGAAATGACTTCACACCTTCCTCCTGCTTGGGAATTCATAAACAAGACATTTTTGTTCCAGTTGACAGTGAAAGGTTAAAGATGAGCACAAGGTTATAACCATCGGTTGCCTGGACAGCTCAGGCAGCTCCTGGAGGCCAGAATGGATACTTTAGAACCAGGTACTGTCCGGGAGAGGACAAGGCATCTGAAAGTCCTTGTTAAGGTGTGAAAACTGTCGCAAAAAAAACAAAACAAAAACAAAAGGGCAGCTAGATGGGGCAGTGAATAGAGCTCTGGCCTTGGAGACAGGAGGACCTGAGTTCAAATCCAACCTCAGACACTTGACACTTACTAGCTATGTGACCCTGGACAAGTCACTTATCCCCGACTGCCTCACCAAAAAAACAAACAAAAAAAAGCATGAAAATTGTGCCCCTGGTACTCATTTCCACTGGATACTTCAGGCTTAAGCCATAACCACCCAACTGCCTTGCCACAAAACAAATGTTCATGTGCCACAAAGAACAGAATGTTCTAGCACTTAAAATGTATATTTATAACACAATGTGTTAAAAGTTGTCCTTCACTGCCCTCTCAAGTACTGAACTCTAAGCAAATGCCTCCTCATTAATGCCACCTGGGGGTTCTGTAATCTAGGTTACCTGCTGCAGCATATTGTTTTGTTTCCAGCTGAGGCTTTGGGTCACCAGATGAAGAGGATTTAATAGTTCTGAACATGGGACAGCTGGAACATTGGCAGAGTGAAGGGATTTGATCTGGAGGAATCTGTGTAAGGCCAACTGGAGCACCTGAAAGAAGAGAATGGAAACATTGAGGGTAAATATCAGAATGTGTCTACTCATACACAAACTTATGAAGAAGGCATGAAGAGTTGAGCTCAGCTATGATGGTAATGACAGCTCACTTGGGGATTCTGAGTCAAGAAGGCATGCTGTTCTCCAGGGAGGCTGGGAACGAGGTCAGTGGCCCAGCAACAAGACAGAGAGTGAGAGTCTGTCCTGCAAATTGCCAATTAGGAACCCAAGGAAAAATATTTATAAGAGTCCTGCCTGAGGAAGCTCAGGCTATTATTGCCAAGAGCCAATGCTACTTTGGCAACAAGAGTTCAGGTTAAACCGTTCAGGTCAGTATATCAGGAGAAAAATGCTCATCCCTGCCCCAGGGATCTGTGAGACAGAAATTTCAAGAGTTATGATGGCCTTCTTTGTGGGGAACTGGACTCAACATCTGATGATCCAAATTGCTTTTGAGTCTCAGTATTCTCACCTGCAAAATGAGAGGGATATAGACCAGGTGATTTTTAAAGTTCCTTCCAGCTCTAGAGCAGGGGGAACATCATAGATAACTCTGGTTTATTAATAATAGCAACAACTACAATAACTCACGTTTCTATAGTGCTTCATGGTTTACAACGTGCTTTCTTCTCAATCCTAGGTAGGTAATGTACACATCTCCACTTTACAAATGGGGAAACTAAGGCTGAGAGATTAAATGACCTGCCCATGGTCACATGGCTAATAAGTGTTGGAGATGCCACTGAGTTCCAGTCTCCTGACTCCAAGTCCAGAGCTCTTTCCACTTCTCCAGCATTCATCTCTACCCTCGCCCTCAAATACTGAGCTCTTGGCCAAAGTAAAAGCTGAACTTCTGTTGGTATTGCTTTCCTCTACAAAAAGTCACACTTGGGAAAAAGAATAAAGAGGATTTCTAGCCAGCAACATTTTTTTTTGTAAGAAGCCCCAAGTGTCCAGAAGAATTCCCCAAAGATCCCATGATCATAGAACTAGGACTGCAAAGGCCATCTAGCCCAATCCTTTCATTTTTACCCGGTAAGAAAATTGAAGTCCAAGACAGTTAAGTGATTTGCTCAAGGCAGTAGTGAGTGGTAGAGCCGAGCTCGTCCTCTGGACTCCAAATATAGCAATTCAATTGCAACTTCTCCCGCCCGCCCCTCCTCCTCTCAGCTCAATTAATCAATCTACTATTCACGCCAGAGGGTGGAAAGAGTTTAGGCAAGAGTCAATAACAGAAGGGTCTGGATTCCCTTCCGTCCCCCAACACCGTGAACGAAGGCAAGACTCGGGAGTTAGTTTCCTCATTTGCCAGATGAACAGTCTCTCACCTAGCCCAGCCTACCTTTCGGGGGTGCTGGGTGGGTCAAACTGAATTCTATCCGTAACTAACTGGCTTAGTTCAAGTTAGCTTCCTTGGGTTCTCCCTGTTCCAGGTCGGTTTGAGCAGCAGAGGAAGTCTACGCGAGCAGGGAGCAGAGCCAGGTCACCCTCAGCGCATTCCTTGTCTGCAAAGAAAAATCACTGAAGGACAAGGACAAGGGGCAGCCAAACTGACCGTCGATCTCTCTTCCTCCCAGCGGGTCTAGCTTGGGGAGAAAGAACTCCAAGGGGGGCACTGATTCCATCCAAGGAGGCCACAGCCCAAGGGCAGGCGGGCAGGGCAGGGCAGGGCGGAGGAAGGGAGACCCCGGCCCGGACCTCCGGCTTCCCCCTCAGCCCAGGTCTTGACAAGTGACTGTGCCTGGGGCTAGGGCTCAGCTCCCTTGGAAGCACCTGGACGAGGTTCGGGTGAGGTTGTCTTCCAAAGTCCGATCCCCTGCCTCTCAGCACCTCCAGTTCCCAGCCTTCGCTTCCCGCTGCCAGTGTGGATCCCTGCGCAACGCCCGGCTTTCCTCAGCACCTCCCCCCAGCTCGGCCAGCCAGGGTCTCCCCGCCCCCACACACCTGGGCAGCCTGGGCCAGGAGGGGGAGAGATGAACCTGCAAGGTCTTAGGCTCCCTCGGGCAGAGAAGCGGCAAAGAACCACGGAGGAAAAGGAGCGCCCTAAGCTCTCTGTGAGAGGCTTCCCCCACGCCCCAGCCATTCCCAGGACCACGGCCCCTCCCCTCCCCCAACCCCCCAGGCCCAAGATGGGAGGGGGGAACCTCCCCGTGGGGCCGTGGGAGGGGTCACTCACCGCTTCCTTGGCCCGGGACGGCATACGCGTGGCCCCCGGAAAGGCGGGGATGGAGGTGGGAAAAAGCGAAGGGACCTGGGGGGAGAGGGAGAAGAGGTCGCCGGTAGGCCCCGCCTCCAGGCGGGGCGTGCCCACGTGGCGGGCAGCGCACATGGCCCTCAAAGCACCCGAGCTCCCCGTGGGAGGACGGGGAGAGCCTGTTACTTTGGGGCACCTCGGGGATGGCTGAAGGGGATGAGGAGGTGAAAGAGGAGGAAAAAGAATAAGGAAGAGAGCCCTTGAGCTGCAGAAGAAGAGCAGCAGGAGCGCATCTGAGGCCTGTGAGAAGCCAGTGATTGGACATAAATGAGAGCCTTTCTCGGCTGTTGTGGGAGGCGGAGTCGGACGCCTGGGTCCGCCCCCCCCCTGGGCCCGCCCCTGGTCTTCGAAAGGCGGTGCCGGGCTAGGATTCTGGACCTCAGTTCAGGCTCTGCGGCTGCGCGATCCTTTCAGTGGCATAACTTCTCCGCCTCTAGTGTCCCAGCCTTGCCCAGGCCCGCGCGCCCAGAGGCGGGAATCCGGACCGGATGTGCTAGGAAAAGGAGGGCCGGGAGGAGAGAAGAGGGTGGGATCCATCCTTACCCTGCGCAAAGCGTGTGGAATCGGGTGGCTTGGACCAGCAGGCTGACTTTCTGGCTGTCGAAAGCTTAATTGCGGAAGGGAAGGCTGGGCCTAGCTGTGCCCCCAGCGCTGGGAAGAGAATGCTTCTAGTCCGGCGGCTGCTTTTTCTGCGTGTATCCCAGAACCTACAAGTCTTTCTCCCCACTTCCCTTCATCTAGTCCCTGGAAAAAAAAGTCTAGGCTTAAACCTAACCCACTGGTCGAAGATAATAAAGGTCAGAGATGCAAGTGGGGCTGGTGGAGCTTGGAACTCGCGCGCTTGAACGGGAGGGGTTGCGCTGGTGAACCTGGGAATCCGGGCAGCACTGCAAGATTTGGAGGGGGCTGCGTATTTCTTGAGGAGCCCAGTTACCAAAATTGGGAGCAGGATCATAATATTTTTAAAAAGTTTTTATCGAGGAGGGTCATAGATAGGATTTAGCGCCATAGATCCTTAGATCTATGAGATCTAAGATCTAACACATCTAACTTAAGAGATCTTGTAGTAAAACATCCACATTTCGCGGAGGAAAAATCCGAAGGCTAGAGAGTGAAAATTTGTTAAGGGTCACTCAGAAAGTTACTGGACGAGGATGCTGTTCTTCCACAGAATGCTCATATGCCAGCGGTACTCTACCTCTCGTATGTGTTATTGCAAATGTTGTTCTGAAATGCGTAACTTAAGTTATTTTTAAAAGTAAATAATTGTTTTAAATCTATTTTGTAAAGATATAAAGTACAATAGAATTTCAGGAATACAGATTAAACTATGTACATTAACACGTGATGTGCATGATTTAATAAAATTACTCTCCCCACAAAAAAAAAAGTTAAAAGCTGAAGCTGAAAACCTCCAACCTGATAAGGCCAAATAAGGCCCTTCAATAAATGCCTAATTCTCTTTGGATACTGACTTTTAAAATTATACAGTGAAAGCTAGATAACAATTCATGTTAATAGAGGCATATTAAACTCTTTAAATAAGGCTAGTAGTACAAGTATTAACTTTTCATATTTGCAAATGGTTCAGAGAGGTTGTGACTTTACTAATAGAAGTTTTAAGATTTACTTTACAACTATTAAGTGGATCCAAACTTGGGGTTATTAAATCTCAGGTTTGATTTTGTTGGAGATTTTGTTTGAAAGAAAAAAAATCATAACTTGGTTGTAGTCATGGATTAGGTGATTTAAGGTGATCTTTTCAGCTCCAGTATTCTGATTGTCTGATTTGAATGTATTACATTAAAAAAAAAGTAAAGCTTTACTATCCACTAATGCCTTTTGCCCCCAAAGTTCAACATATTAACAAACTGCTGAACCTATCCTTAACTCTATACTTAAGCATATAATCTGAGATCAGGGTAAAGATAGGGATTCCTCTAAGCCCATTACATTCTCATTAGGGGAAAGGAATAAATATTTATAATGGACTTTGTTATTCCTTATTTTACAGTCAAGGAAACTGAGGCAAATAAGAGCTTAAGTGACTTGTCCAAGGTCACACAGATAATAAGTGTCTTCCTGACCCCAGGCCTAGTGCTCTATTCACTCTATCCACTCCCCATTACTGAAGTCACAACATGTATACGTGTGGATTTTTTAGCATTGGAAGACTTGACCTTAAAAGAGGCTACAAATACATAAAATGACTTGCTCAAAGTCACAAAACTTGTCATAGATTTCTGTGTAGATGGTCTTTTACACTATAGCTACTAATATATAATGTACATATATACACACACATAATTGAGTTAAAATTAGTTCCTTTTCATTTACCTTTACAGTATTATGTATCATGAAGTACAAAATACTGTACTTTGCTGTGATGATTCATAGAATGTTAAAGCTGAAAAATATTTTAGAAATAATCTTAGATTTTTAGAAATAATTTTTATAGATGATGAAAGCCTAATTTTGCCATACCAGTATGGATGTTGAACTAAAAGAATCTGAATCTTTTTGAGCCATAGTCAGGTATTCTTTTCATACCATGCCAGCTATGATATATAGGTTCACACCAAGGAATGCCTACCATTTAACACTCCTTACCTGAGGGTATTTTGCCGATAGGAAGGTGAATTTTGATGGCCTAAAGCTACCTAGTTAACTTGAGGTTTACTGGCTATATTTCTTTCTCAAACACCAAGCCTAAAACCCAATTCACTCTGGATCTCATAGATTGGACAATAATAGGTCCCTGACCAAGCACCACATAATGGTTATTTTTTGGGCCCTGTTGCTCAGACTGAATGTAAATAGTAACTGTTTCTCTTTTGGCCAGCTACCTGGTGGGTCTTCCCCTCCCAGTTTGAGTTTTTTTTTCCTTCGATTAAAAGGGGCCATCTCTTTACTTACTTCTTAAAGAGGCCTATTCACTGAATGGGTGTTGCCTCACTCAAAGTGAGAACCTGAAAAGACCTTAGCTTAAAAGGGCCAGGGTCTCCCAATGCATTCTGGGCCATCTCCACTCACCCTGATCATATCTGGCCACTGGACTCAGATGGTTCTGGAGGAGAAAGTGAGGCTGGTGTCTTTGTACAGCCCTCCCTCGCTCAGATCAAAGTCAATTGCAAGTCACATCATCATCTTCCTAATGTCATAGTCCTCTTCAAGAAGGAAGGAAAACTACAATCTCTGGAACTTAACTAAGATTGCTCCTTTATTGTTATTATGCACTTTGCTATAGAACAGAATTTTTTTTATGAGATCTCAGTAGCAGTGAAATGGCTCATTAAAATATTTTAAAATTGATTGCTAATTACCTGGTAATATGACATTTCCATAAATCAAATTGGACATTTGTAAAATATTGTAATTCTCAACTGTTTTCTTTTCTGATGATTGTTATCACCTGGGTGATACTCCCTGGATGATATTCTCAGGAAATTGTCCAATGGAAAGACCAATGTATGGAGAAATAGGTTCAGATTGTGGCTGTACCACTAACTAGCTTTGTGACCTTGGGCAAATCACTTCATCTTTCTAGGTCTTAGTTCCATTATAAAAGGGAAGGCTGAGTTAGATTTATCTAATAGGATGGCAAAGTGTAATAACTACTGGATTTGGAGACAGACAGCCTGCTCAAATCTCAGCTGCTCTACCAATTAATAGTTCTGTTATCCTGGGCAAATCCTTTCACCTCTGTCTCTCAGTTTTTTCAATGAGGGGGTTGAGCAAAGAAGGCCTAAGTTCCCTTCCAACTCTCCATCTATGATCCTTTTGATTCAAAACAGTTTAATGTCCTTAGTTTTGGGCTGAGAGTAAAAACAGATGGATTCTGATTGTGTCATTCAGTTCAATTATACAATTCCAAATTTTCTCCCTATATCATGGTAAAAATTTGGCCTCATAGATGTGGAAATTTTATAGTATTCAATTTTCTCATAAATTCATTTATTTGCTCTTTTTATATAGGAAGAAAAAAATGTCTCAAAGGCAAATGAAGGAGGCCTTTGTCAGCAACCTCAATGGAACCAGCCTTCTGGAAATTTCAGCTGGTTTGGCCTTGCCCCCACTTTGTACTGTGTGTAGAGGTCTGATATTCATTCTGTCACAACTCCATCATGCAACCCTCTCATGTAGATGGGGAGCTCATCTCCTCACTGACTTTGCTTTACTTGTAGTGCCCTTGGTAGCTTCTTGCACCATTCTTTCTTCTGTAATCTTTCTTATGCCACTTATCTTAACCATTTTAGGTACTTGGTTGTTCTACCAGATATATAACAAGAGGACCTATTATGTCAGGGCACCTGCCCAGGAAATCATTGATGCATTCCTGAAAATCAGAGTGGATTCCAAAAACATTCCATCTGTTACTATGTTTCGTGTTTACATCAATTTGGTTACTGCCATCAGCATCCTGGCTGTGGATTTTCCACTTTATCCTAGACGATATGCCAAAACAGAGCTCTATGGAACAGGACTGATGGATTTTGGAGTGGGAGCCTTTGTTTTTGGGAATGCTATCGTTTGTCCAGAGGTGAGAGGAAAACTTAGGGCCAAACAGTCCAGATGTTATTACCCTGCAAAGCAGTTGTTCTCTGTTTGGCCATTAATAGTTCTAGGGCTAGGGCGACTGATCAGTGTAAAGTCCATAGGCTATCATGAACATTTATCTGAATATGGAGTTCATTGGAACTTTTTTTTTTACCTTAGCAGTAGTAAAAGTAGTAGCCTCTTTACTCTTGATTCTTTTTCCCCTTAATAAATCTTGGATTGTGGCTGTCATCATTGCCATATTGTACCAAATATCTCTTGACTTTGCACAGCTCAGGATGATTATTTTATTTGGCACTGATCGCAAAGGCACAAGGATTGGTTTCCTAAATGCAAACCGTGAGGGAATCATCTCCACCTTTGGGTATGTGGCAATTTATATGGCTGGTGTGCAAACTGGATTATATGTATTAAGGGTAAAACCTCTTCTCAGAGACTGGATCAAAGTGGGAAGTCATCTGTTATGGACAGCTGCCACTCTCCTTGTGTTTCTTTATATATGTCAAACATATATAGATACAGTTTCTCGAAAAATGGCTAATTTAGCCTTTTGCATTTGGATAGTTGCTTACAGCCTAACATTTCTTAGTTGGCTGATACTAGGTAATGTGATTTTGGTCTTCACCAAATTCCTGATTAAAGGAGCTACTGTGCCAAGTTCTTGGGATCTCATCCAGACACTCAACACAGATAAAAAGCCTTCAGAGTCTCTGGCCCACCAAAATGGAAGAGAGCTGCCAAGTCTTTGTTTAATTGCTGCCATTGACCGAAACCAATTACTTTTCTTCTTACTGGCGAACATTATGACGGGCTTGGTCAACCTGACTGTTGACACTCTACATAGTAGCTCCTCTTGGACTTTAACAGTACTACATCTGTACATGATTAGTAACTGTTTAATTATATATGTCCTGCATATACAGAATATTACTGTAAAATGCTGGTGATTATTGGGGCAATATAAATGGGGTAATGATAAATGTTAATAATGGATTTTTGCAACTAGATGATTAATTTCACCTCAAAATTACAAACTGTCACAAATATAGACGTATAACATCATGCATTGATTCTTATTTATTTGATATACCTTAACATTGCATATAGTACTGGATTAAGATGAAGCAGTGCTTCTGAAATTCCCCATAGGTTACTTAATAAATGATGGTATTCTAGTCAAGGTGTAGATTCTTCATTATAGCTCAATTTTAAAAAAATCTTACAAGGCAGTTTTTAGCCTAAGTATAAAAGCAATCATTCAAAACTTGCACTGCTATTCTAAAGTGCATAGTACAGTGACATGCAATGAATATTAACAGACAGCACAAGGCAGTAATAAGTAAATAGATCATCCTAACTGTGATCTTCAGAAAATGATTCTTATGTGACTTTGTATTTATATAAGATAGTCCTGGTTTATAACTAAAAATAGATGTAACTGTATGGTGTGGGTTACATACCAAGTAATTATGAGGCATTAGATGAAGTTTTCCTCTCAGATATAACTACCTACCTACTAAAAAAAGAAATAAATCTTTAGATAGCTGGAATGCAGTCCAGTTTAATTAAACTGACTTTGGCTTGATACATCCCCTTTTAATGATTTAACATTACTACCTCCCCATCCCCAAACTAAGAACTAGGTTCCTTTGAAAACATTTATAGGCTTGTGCAAAATCTTTTGATTGCAAAAGATTATAATCTTATATTGGCCTTTTGTATTCCTGAATGAAAATCTGTATCTTTCAGAAACATTTTATTTTTAAATTTTCTATACAATGTCAACCAATTTAGAATTTGTTTACATTTGCAGAAAACTTTATATAACCAGTTATATCCTGAATTATTCTATGATTGAGAGGCATTTATTTTTTCCTCTGAGGAGATCCATTCAATGAACTGTTCATGTAGCCACAAAAATAAAAATCATTAAGAGATTATTTTCTATTTTCAATTAAGAATTTAGGCATTTAGCCAATAAAATTGCAATATGCAAATTAAGCATGACAGGAAAAGGTGATTGGCTCACTTGCTGTCTATGTCACAGTCCCAGCACCCACAACCAGTCTCTTCATATTGAAGGACAGGAGGGCAGAGAGGCACTAATCGTATTGGTCTCTCATTTTATAAAGTAATTTAAAGTAAGTTATCCAATGACTTAATGAATAGGTTAGTTGAATAGTATATTTTCTGTTGTCAGTAGTCACTCTTTCACTCTACTATGGCTGGGGGGATACCTAATAAAGTAACCATCTCAGTAGGTTTTCAATTCCAAACAGTTATGGAAAGAAATCATAATTTGAAAAGATCAAAGTGCATTGTCTTTTTCCCTTTCACTTAGAAAAGTGTGTAAGTAAAACTTGATGAATAGCTTACATAATTAACAGAAGGAATAATACACAGATAAGACCTCTCATTTGGTGATTCTGGTTTATAGGGAGCCAGGTAACTTATAGGAGTTACCTTTCTCTTTAAGATCTAAGTGGAGGAAATGTGTATATATTTTTGACAGATACAACAGAACCTCCCACTGTCAGCTCATGAAAAAGAAAGCTCAATTTCACAGATTCTACACATTTGGACAACTGAGGTAATTAATATCACATTCTGCTGTTAGATTTTACTAACATGCAAAACAAAATATTTTAACTGCTAATATTACAAACAAAAAGCATAATTTGTAAGGAGGGAGGGAAGAACATTATAGTAGGAAGAAAATGAGAGCAGGAATTGTTTAGGAAGGAATATGGTCTCAACTAGGACACCTTAACTGTGATCTTCAGAAAATGATTCTTGCCTGACTTTGTATTTATATAAAATAGTCCTGGTTTACAACTAAACCAGATTTTACATGTGTGTGTAGATGTGTATGTATGTGTGTATATGTACATATATATTAAAAATGAGTTCAATAGTCATGGGAGTAGAGTGTGTAATGAGGACTAAGAGATATATGTTTACAAGATACCAAAGCATTTCACTGTGGTATTTTTATTAAATGTATTCAACAGCAGAGTGCAGTTATTTTAGGTCAGAGGACCCGAGTTTGAATCCTATCTCTTATAATTAAGGCTAGTTTGAACTTGAGAAAATTACTTAACCTCTCTGGGCTTCAGTTTCTCTTCTAGGTATAAATCTAGGATTCTCTGAATTTTGATACACACATAAAAATATTGTACAAAGCATACAAAAGAAAAAAAACTACCTAAAACAGTAAAATAACTTTCTTTAAAACAGTTGAGGAAAGAGTAGTTTTTCCTTAGTTATAATGACCTCTCAAATGCTTGGAATCTCTTCCAAAGAGATAAATTCGAAGTCTTAACAACCCCACTTTAAACAAATCTTTATTAATAGTAGTTAAGTGGTCTGGTCTATTGCTGGCTTTATTTCCCACCCCCACCCAATGCCTCCCTAGCCACTCAACCTTGCTCATTATAGATCAAATTTTTTCTTTTTGACCCAATTCTTAAGGAAACCAGGGAGAATGGTGAATGTGCCTTTTTTCCCCCTCCCTGCTTGGCAAAAGCATGGCTATGATGTTATTCTTTTATCAAAGAATTAGCTCATAAGCTCTGTAAGGGCAGGGACTTGGTTTTTAACTTGTATAATGCTGTGCATGTAGTGAGCACTCAGAAATGTAAATGGTGGTAAGAGGCAAAAGCAATGCTGGTTTTTTAAGTCACTTAAACCGATAGATATAAAGAAAAGTAACAATCTGCTCTGAAATCAGGGTGGCACATACAGCAATCAATGAAATACAGTTGCTACACCTAATTTTTCTCTCTAGCATATTTCCCTAAATATGTAGTAAGATTACTCCCTTCTAACTTCTACCACCTTATTCTCTGAGAGAGTAATCAACCCAACAAGTACTCTTTCTCCTTCAAAAAGTATTTAATTGAATGTCTGGAGGATGAGACACTGTCCAAGGTACTACTCAGTAAGGGGCTCTTGTTTGATAGACCAAAAACCAAGTCAAATGCAGTTCACAGAAAGCAAGCAATACCAGATTGAAGAAATTTTAGTAGTTTTAACATATTATAAATCCAGATTTCATTGCCTTTTCTAAAGTCTCCAAGGTAAGAGGCCCTGTTCTTTTCAAATAGCAACATGCCTAAGCTCAGTAATGTTACTAAAATTAGCACCTATACTTAAGCTTGTCCTTTTCAATCAAAGGTAACCAACCAAAAGAACTTTAACTGATATAATTAGATCAACTTAAAAGAAATGGTGATAGCTTATTTGACAGAATCACCTCTAGACATTAACAGTTACAGGTAGCTTTTTCAAGAAAATGTTCAGGTTTTTACCAGAATCTAATTTCCTGCACACCACACACAAATTGCCATTTTATAGAGGAATAATCATACTGTTCTAGATGCTCAAGTTGATACAGTGGTTAGGTGATAGGCTCCCTACCCTCTTGAAGCCTACTCTGTGTGTGTATGTGTGTGTATATATATATCCATACACAAATACATACAAAATAACACATGGCACTCCCAGCTGTCCTTCTAATACATCACCAAAGAGCAGAAATATTTATTGGATAATCATACCTTTAGGACTGAACAATGCTTCTTTCAGCTTATGTCACCCACCCCACAGTGACCACACAATGTCATAAGTCAACATGGCTGAGGATGCACTGTAGGTTTTTTTTTTTTGTTGTGAATCTCTAAGACTTCATGTGATGACCAAAATACCTTTTAAAGGTCAGTATCACGTTCCAGGCTATTCTCTCAGGATTCATATATCTGTCTTTAAGAGTTAGCTACTATTAGGAACAGTAAAATAGCATTTATCCTGAAAGGCTTCAGATTTTTCCTTAAAAACACAATCTTTTTATAGCAATCCTAAAAGTCAAGTTTCTTTCTGACAGCAGCAAGCAGAATATTAAAACTGCCACTGTGACAGCTCTACTCAAGAAACGGCCAGAAGGGTCTTCTGCCCTTTGCTCAAGTGAACCAGTGCCCTCCATCTGCCTTCTCGAGTTAATACTAACCTAATAGGTTTCTCTGACTTATTCAGAAAAATCAATTAGGTTATTCCACCCAAACCTGGTTTTGGCATAACCACCATTACCACTTGATATGGTGGTAATTTTTCCCTCTGGGGTATCTCGGGCCACTGATGAAATAAGAAATAGTCCTAATGTTAACCCCTCCTCCCTCCCAGTCCCCACTGGGGTTAAGTTGGTTCACTTTTTCTAGGGCTCAGTGTCCACTTCTGTAAGAAGAATACGTTGGACTAGACAACTTCCAAGGTCCCCTTCATTAAGTCTTACACTCGGCTTGTTCTTAGTGAATTGGAAGGTGGGGGAAGGCTTTCTTGATCTTTCCTCCCATCGGTAGGCGGGGTGGGCCTGGGGCAAGGAAGGGATTCTCATTCCCCTAAATTCAACTCTCCAAATCCTCCACGCCGCCCCACCCCCGCCTGCACTTTCCCTTGCCCTTCTCTACTCACCACCTTGGCCATCTCTCTGCCCTCACAGACCCTCTTCTCTGCTCCCCAGGCCCCAGAGCCGCCGCCGCGGCCTAGCCCGGCTTCTCCTTGCGCCTGCCTGCCCCGCCTACCCACCCTGGTCTGGCCTCGGTTGGCGGCTCCCACCCCCTACCCCCGCTTTGGGCTGATTTAACGCAGTAGATTTGTGGTGCGGACGTGGGTTAGAGCTGAAGACCGGCAGTCCCGGTTCTGAGGACCAAGCTGCAGCTGCGGCCGTTAGGGACGCCCGGTAGGGCCGGTTACGAAAAGAGAGGCTCCCGCGCGCGGCCGTTGGCTGGCGGGAATCTCGCGAGAGGGGGCGGGGCTCCGGGAGGTAGGCGTCTTCTCCCTCCCCCCTCCCACCACCTCCCCTCTGTCCCGGTGCTCTCTCCCTCCCCCTTCCCCTCCTCCCTCCCCACGCGGCGCGAGCAGCTGACAGACCCGGGAGAGGAAACGGCCCTCAGAGCCGCGCTCCCGCCTAGCCCAGCCCGGCCCCGCCCCGGGCCTCGTTAGCCGGTAATGGGGAAGAGTGGAGTGCTAGGCAGGGATAGCTAGTGCCTGGACTGAGTAGGGGATCGGGGATGAGAAGCTCGGGGCGCCTCCACCCCCGCCCTGCCTGGGGCTTCGGGAAGACTCTGTCCCCAGCGCCCCCTAAGGTTCGGGGCGGGGCCACGCCTGGGAACGGGGACTGACAGAGCGGGAGCGCGCCTGGTTTGCGGGGGCGCGCCTGGAAGGGGAAGGGAAGAAAAAAGGGGGGGGAGGCGTCGCGCGCGGTGGTGGTAGGGCAGAGCGGGTGCTGGAGCGAGGCCGAGCCTGGGCTGGGGGAGCCTGACAACCGGGCCACGGGAGGAGGGGCTGGCCTCTGAACTCTGGGACGGGCGGGGCCCGGGACTGCGGCGGCTCTGACTGGCTGGGGAAGTCCCCTCTCTGGCCGGTTTCTTCCGCCGCCTGGTGTTCCTGACAGGAGGCTGGGTCGAAGGCGTGGGCGGAGAAGAGGAAGGGGGCGGAGGGAGGCGAGGGGAGGGCGGGTTCGGGCGTTTCTTGACGCTGATTGGCTCCAAGCGTGTTGAATCAGGCGATGGAAAACGCTGAGTCCGTGCGCGGCCTCCCCTCTCCCTCCCCCCGTGGCGAATGTGCGGCGCCGCGGCGGCCTCGCTTTACGTTCGCGGGGTTTGGCTGTTGCAGGCAGGAGCAGGGAGGAGGCGGCAGTAGCAGCAGGAGCGGCAGCGGCGGCGGTAGCGGCAGCTGGGAAGCGGTCGTGACGGCGGCGACAGCAGCAGCAGCCACATCGGAGACGATGGCGCGGCTGGTGGCAGTGTGCAGAGACGGGGAGGAGGAGTTCCCCTTCGAGAGGAGGCAAATTCCCCTCTACATAGACGACACCCTCACGGTGAGCGGGCCGGGCCGGGCCCGGGCTGGGCCGGCCTGGCCTCTCCCCTCCTCTCCTTTCCCTCCGCCGCTTTGGCAGCTGTTCCCCCCTCTCCCCCTCCCCCAGGCCGAGAGCTGCGCACTGGAGAAAGACGAGGGTGTTGCAACTCCTAGGCAAGGCCTTTCCTCTCCGCAGGCCCGACACTCACTCCCTGCCCCTTGGTTGGACAGGGCCGCTGCGGCCCCGGCAGGCCGCTCCTTGCCCCCTCACCGATTTTCGCTAGCCTTTTCCACATCTCCATCCCATTGGGCTTGTCCCATCCCAGGAAACATGCTCCAGTTCAGAGCAGACGCCTTGTAAGAGAAACGCCAGAGCTAGGGGCATTTTGGGGCCTATCTCTTTCTGAAACCATCAACCCCCGAGGAGACTTAATGATAATCTGCAACTGTCACAGCTGGGCTGCTGCTGCCTGCATGTTTGTGTTTCATTATATGCAGCACTGTACCGGCAGGATAACCTAAATACTGAAGTTTATCGGCATGCCTTACCCATTCAGTAACACTTTCGCCATAATTATTTTTATTTAGCTCTTCTTTTAACTTCTTACCCTGGGGGGCGGAGGTGTCTATAATTTATTCTCTGAATTGTCTAACCCACCTAAGAAACTAAGAATGATTTATCTCGCAAGGCTATGACTCCTCAAATAGATGTTCCTGACATTAAAAACAACAACATTGTGTTTAATTTTCCAATTATCATTTATTTAGAACCTTTTTAAAAGATATAAACGTCCAAAAAAAGCCCTAGAAAAGCCGCTTCTTGTGTGATTGGGTGATTTACAGTTCTAGGTTTACGATTCCTTTCAGGAGTTAATAGTCCTACAGTGTTATCTGACTCTGTTTTTTACTGTACTATATGAAAAAAGGTGTTTCCTTTTGGAGGAAATGGCAAAAACATGCAATTGAATCTTAACAGGAAATAAAGAGTGCAGTTGCTTGTCACTATTTTTAAAGATCTCTGATCAACGTTTTCTTTTTTGAAATCTGTTTTTGGTATCCTGAAGTACTTAAGTTTATTGGAGTGTAGAACTAGATTTGGATGAAAATAAACTTGTTTTCAAAACAAAGGTTTATGTATTTCAAACCTAAATTGTCTGTTAATTGGTTTTATATATAGTTGTGAAAATAATGCCACCTAAAATTTATAATAGCTGTTAAAATGCAAGTCATTGTTAGAGATGCCACTCTTGTTGGCCATTGTCAAGACTGGATTGAGGTGCAGTACTTAATGTTTAAAATTGAAAAGTGTGACTGAGTTGACTGGGTAATTTGTTGGAATGTTCAAGGCAAAAAGCTATAATTATGTTAGTCTGGTTACTTTTTGGTGGGGGAAAAAAGTGGAGTACTTTTTGTAGTCTTAAGACTTAAGGAGAGAGGATTTATCAGAAAATAGATCCATGTTTTGAGTACCCTTTTCTATCTTCTATATGAAAAATTTAGGGAAACTAGTTTAAATTAAAATTAATATACCATCCTTGATATTTTAAATGGTCCATTCATCCATTAGAATAAATGCTCATGCAATTAGCACTCATGCAAACATTGTGTATACTCTCCCTCTTTTTGTGTGTCCTTTCCCCTAAGATCTTGAAGTGGAAAAAAAAAATTCTACTAGAGAATAAAGAAGAGGGAGAGAGATTGGATGTAAGGAAGATTATATGGGGCAAATCACAAAAATTTGAATACCTAATGAATTTAAAACATTCAATCTTCCAGGTTTACATTTTAATTTTAGCTCTTAATGAGGAGTGATAGGCTAATATCTCAATATTTGAAGTATTTGAGATTTCATGTTAAATATCTGTCAGTGATGACTTAAAATTTTACATTTTGAAAAAAGCTTTTTCCCCCCTACATTTTGAGCATTTTATGCTTCTCTTAAATCACTTAATATCAGCATTTCCCTGCTTCTAGTTTTTATCTTGCTTCTTGAATTCAGAATTAGGAAAAAGAGAGCAGCATGTAGTTGGGCTTAATTTAAATAACATTTCCTTTAAAGAAAAGCATTTTATGTTGGAAAAATGTGAACTTTAGTCACTTAGGAGAATGAACTCCTTTAGGAGTTTGGCATTTTAGTCACTAAATGTTTTTTAGTGAAATATTTTTCCCTCAGATGTATGGTAATGGAAGAAATAAGCTTGCAGAGCCCTTCCTCTGCAAACCCAGTCACCTGTTGACTTGGGGGTGGGGGGCAGGGGAGATTAGGAAGGAGCAGACCATGTTCCTCTGCAAGAGAGAAGATGTGGTAGGCTTTTGTGGGAAATGGTCTTAGTAATGGTGTTTATAAATTCATTGAGTTTGAGTTTTTGTTCCCTTTATCCATTGATAAAGTCCTGAGCAAATTATGTTCTCTGGAAAAGCATTGATGCATTTTTAGTAGTCATCAGTATTGATCGCTTCTTGGTAGCCATGTGCTTAGCGGATTCTACTGTTAACATGCTTGTGATCCAGGAAGCAATAACAATGGATGGGAGGGAAAAAAATTGTAGAATTTTAGAAACTTTTCTCTACCAATGTTCTGGAAATACTTCTAGCACTTTTTAAAAATTGATTTTTGTTAGTAACTAGATTAAAAATCTATCTAGTGAATATGTAGATATCAGACTGAGGATAGAAACAGAAAGGAACTATATTTGAACTTGTTTAGTAGCATAAGTTGAAGAGTAATATAGTTTTAAGTCACATTTAGCACTTGTAAAGTGAAATGAGCAAAAACTGTCTTCTCTTCCAATGTGAAATATTCATAGCTCTTTAAAAAATGAATTTTTGTTAGAAGTTAAACTAAAATCTATCCAGAAGTCTTATCTAGATCCTATCTACAGTCTCAACCTTTGAAGCCTTTTAAAAGAAGTAACCTCAGGTACTGTTAATGTAGGGCATAGGCCTCCTAATGCTGACTATCATTGTAACATTCAGCATTAGGAGGCCTTTGTACTATAGTAGTAAGAATGTTCCTGATTTAGGAAGATGGATTTGAATGCTTCAATCCAAAGCTATAATATATAGGCATTTTATCTTACTTGAGAAAGAATCCTAAAGATTAATATTATAGACTGCTTAGGAAAGCAGCAATCTGTCTGCATTAACATGCTGCTTTTAATTCTGTTAGAATTACAAATTTAGGAAATGCCAGGAACACAGGTTTGCATTATAGTGAAACCTTTGAAGAGTTGGAGTATTTAAATTTACCAGAAAGATACTTTAGACTTTGTGTAGGATAAATGTTAGCTTCTACTTGGAGGTGTGGATTTAGTGTGCTATCAAAAGGTATGTGGTTTCATGTTTTCTCTTTGGAATCTTGATTTAATAGCATTGGAATGTATTTTGCAGAAAGGATTATGTTGCAAATAAAAGTTGAAAGAAGAAATTCAGGGTCAATGAAAAAGCATTTATTAAGCACTTACTATGTGCCAGGTGCTGGGGATACAAAGAAAAAGTGAGACAGACACTACTGTCAAGGAGCTCAAACTCTAATGGGGGTGCTGGAGTGGTGGGAAGACAACACATAATGTTCATTTGGCGAAGAAATCTTAAGGGCGCAGCAGAGGGATAGAGTAATGGCAAAGTCCAGGGGTCCTTTTAGTGGAACATAAATGAAAGTGATTTGGATAAATATATTCTCACTCACTGGCAGCACAGGGGGGAATAATCTTAAGAACAAGGGAAGGTAATAAATATTAAGCACCTACTAAGCCAGGGGTGGGGAACCTTCGGCCTCAAAGACACGTGTGGTTTGGCCTTTTGGCTGAATCCAGGTTTTACGGATCATATTTTGTGCAGCCTCAAGGCTACAGGTTCCTCACTCCTGTACTAAGCATTCAGGCACTGTGCTAAGTGCTTTACAAGTATCTCATTTGATCCTCATGGCAACCCTATGCAGGACAGCATCTGTTCTATCTTTAGGTGAGTGCACATGCAGAATATTTGACAATACTGTTTAGGTCACCTAAGAAGTGATTTTTAAAGAATAGAAAACAAAATAGTGCCATTTTTTCCTCTTTCCCCGTTAGGTAGTTAATAGTACATAGTACCTTATGTAGAACTTGGCCAAAATGCTGCCAAGGCAGAAGACACTGTGTTGGAAATAAATTATTTAGCTCATGAATGTTGGCATAAATGGCATAAAATAGCATAAAACCACTGCAGGGGAAGTTATCCACTGCTGAGACTGCCATTGCAAGACTGACAAAATCCAGGCTGGACACAACACAGGATAACATAATAACTTGATCTATAACCAAATGTAAAGGTTCATGAAGCAAGGGTATAATAACCATAATGCTTACCCTCTAGGATTATCTCTAGTTTTTATCTTGCCTATATCTTGTTTGTAAATAGTTGTTTGCATGTTGTCTTCCGCATTGGACTGTGATCTCTTTATGAGCAAGGACTCACCCTCCTCCCCTTTATATCCTCAGGGCTTACTAAACACAGTGCCTGGCTCATACTAGGTGCTTAATAAATGCTTGTGAATAAATGTTCTGATGAGCATCAAAGTCTGTGATATATTAAGCATTTTCTTTTGTTCTGCTTTCATAAGACTGCAAAACATTATTAGAAGGAAAAAAAAATCAAAGTTTCCCTAAACATAGTTAGAACTTGGGATATCACACACTGGGTCTTCAAGTTTGTATCTTAAAAAAACAAAAACAAAACAAAGAAAACCCCTTCAGGTCTTTCTAGATTGATATTTTGGACTCTTAATAAATGCTTGTTGACTGACTGAAAACAGCACAAGTCATGAACGATTGATAAATTTTGTGTAATTGGACATAAAAGCACAGTGTCCAATTACAGTGAAGTACAATAATATTTCTCAGTTAAGCAGGTGAAGGATACAAATTTTAAGTAGTCCACTTAAATAGGTATGAAACGGTATGTTGCTTCTATTGATTCACATAACTTCCAAAGATTTGTCCTAATGCTTAATTACTTGCTAACTGAATTTATTTTTATGTAGAAAACAAAACTCTAAAACTGCAATGACTCTAGTATGTAGTGTTGTGTTTTTCTTATCAGTTAAGATCATTTGGTAACTGGATTATTATTAAATGGCTCAATTGAAAGAACCTCAGGTTGAGTTGAGTTCAGCCAGTTCTCATGATAAAAGAAACAGGAGTATTATAATTGAAAATTCCTGGATAAAGTAAAATTTTTGAATTAACTGTCTTCTCTCTCACTAAACCATTTAAAGTTGCATAAACTAAATTAAGATAAATAACCTGAGTTCACCTTTATTCTGCTGCTTTACATTCTAGTAAAAAGCCTAAACAGACTACCTAGGGGGAGAACTAGACACAAACCAAAAAGGTTAATCATTAAATTGGATAATCAGCTCCTGAGGGATTTAGATTTGACCATATAAGACTAATATATTTAAGGAGGGAAGAGGACTGGTCTTTTAAAAAGTTAAGGAGACTAGGAAGAAACATGCATGTGGTGGACTTGATGTTTTTATTGCTACTGAATTATTTTGCTTTTAAAATCAGTGTCCTATTCTTTACATGTAGATCATCTGTTAGGTATAATAATACATAATTTTCAATTACTCTTATAAAAGCACAGCGATTGCCTTAATATTATATTAGCATACTGAAGGACAGTACTGTATAAATAGAGCAATTGATACCTTGCTTAACAGAATCCTTTGGGAATGAATTCCTTCACAAGAAATTAAAAATCACAAATTAAGTAAAACAGCTTACGTTTATGGTAAATGACTAAAGTTAGTTGGATTTTTTTTTTCTTAGAAGTTACCCAGGTGAAGGTAAACAGGGTTAACAGGATGTAGTGAATTTGTTCCCTCCAGATTTCCCCTTCAATACCTAGAGCTGCCTTACTTTCTTCCTCACATTCATACCACTCACCTGGAGTTGTTAGTAGACATTCAGTAGGTTACCTCAGTACAGCATTTGCATTTTAAGCCAAGTAATTAATTATGGAATGAATTGTTCCTTTTTAATTAAATTAATTTTTAAAAATGAAAGGAATATCAGTCAGGGACAGGTAGGAAAATCAGAAGGGTTAGGAGTCCCCCAGAGATAACATAGGAATAGAGAAGACAGCAAGCATGGTATAGTGGAAAGAGCATTGAAATGGGAGTGTAACTGGGTTTTTGAATCCTGTTCTGCTACATACTAGCCATGTGTCCTTCGCTGAAGTACTTAACCTCCTTTGCCTTCAGGCTTCTTATCTATAAAATGAGGGAGTTAAACAATGACTTCTGAGGTTTCTTCCAACTCTAGATCTTTGATCCCCCAGAAAGCTCCTTATTTTTCTGGGTACTGTCAAGGGTCACTTGACCTTCAGCTTCTCCCCAGAACTTGTTCTCTCCTCTGCCCTGGCACAACCTATATGGCAGACTTCCCTAACAAAAGTTGTTGTGGCTCTTCTTTCCACCTTTATATCCTAGGACTCCTGGTTTCTTATCTGATGCATTAGCATGTGATGGTGACCTTTTCATACCATAATTTGTTTAAAGTCCTGGTCTGTATCTTTTTGCTTCCTCTTAGGTCTTTTTTGTTTTTTTAACACGTTTGCAGTGAAGTTTCTGATATATGTTGTTGAAACATGACCATGTTAATATAATTATGACTATCATTCTTTCACAGAATTTCTTAAGTGTTCTTTTCCAGATGTTTGGGGAAAACAGCTTAGATAAAACATGATCCCTGCTCTTAAGGAGTCGTAGGGACCTCTGATTTTTGTCACTATGGGTATTCCTCTATGACTTAATATTTGAATTTTTCACTTAGCAATCAGTCCTGATGGTGAGCCTCCCGGCACTTAACTAGACTGGTTCTTAGACAAGATATATAGTCAATCACTGAGTATCTGAGATACCCAGATCTTTTCCAGCATATGGTATTGGGCCTTCCAGAGCTTACATTTTTGTTAGTATGGCCTGAGAGAACTCAGTTACTAGTATACCTTTCTGAGGCATCACATTAGGACTTGGCTGAGGAACCTTAACCTGATGTTGGTGTTGCATTCATGCAAATCTACCCTTAAATATTACCATTCAGCTCATGAATTAGTAAATATTGCTTTGTATGTTTCAAGAATGGGGAAAGAATTTTGACTTGAATGTGCTTTTAAATTTTTTTTATTTTAAGATGGTGATGGAATTTCCTGATAATGTGCTAAATCTTGATGGGCATCAGAATAACGGTGCACAACTAAAGCAGTTCATTCAGGTAAAGTCTTTAATATTACTGCTTTAGATGTTTGCTGAATGTAATTCTTTAACTTGATAAGTTAATTAACTTGATACAGCTGTGTAAATTGTATTAACTCTGTAGTTTTAAATTTATGGTCTTTCTTTGACCGTTACAGTGAATGGTCATGGATGATACTATCATACAAAAGAACTTCAAAATTTAAAACTTCAAATTTTCAAATCTACTTTGTTGTCTTTACATTTGTCTTTTAGAGGGGGGAGCAGACATAATACATGATGAGTTGTTTTTTGGTATCAGATTCGAGAAGATAAATAAATTTTTATAGTTAATTTTCTGATTATCATTTCATTTTGAAACTGACATAGATGTGAACAGAATAACATTGTGTATTGAATTGATCTTACAAAAGGCAGATAGTTAGCTTGTATTACAGATCTTAATTCACAGAGTTCCAGAAAATTGTGAATGAAAGCTTGAATTGAGAGTTTCTTAACAATTGACCGTCTTACTCTTCTTATTCTCCATTCCCTTTCATAATTTTTTGGGGGCCTTTTTAAACTGGGGTCATTAGTAGTAATAACATAGCATAACAATTTATAAGAACAAACACTTCATTAAGGGGAACAAGTAATACTTTCTACATTGATTTATAGCAGTGTCTCCAAACTTTTTTGATCTCCTGTTCTGCTAGTAATTTTTTTTACCTTGTGGGTCTACTGAGGGGTTGGGGGTAGTGAGTTTGCCAGTGGTACCTGGGTACAGTTGCTGCTATGGGGAATTAAGTTATATGCCCTAAGGGGCCATTGCCTGGCTCAGAAAGGGGAAATTGAGAATTCACACTTTCAGAAAGGGATGAGAGTTTTGTGGGAGAGTAATGAGTGAAGGATAGATAAGTTGTTTTGAAGATGAGCCCTATGATTGGCTATCTCGGGAAGGGTAGGATGTGATCCATTTTCCCACTCTTCAGTTGATTGCTCACATACCCTTGGGGTCATGCCATGGGACCGTCCCCATTTTGGAGACCATTAATCTGTAGTATCATGTTTATTCCCTTTTCCACATCGGCATCATCTACTGGAGAAATATTAAAGTACATTAAACTTGTAATTCATTTGAATTTTTATCTTATAAATGTCAGTTAAATCTTATTTTTAAAAAAGGTCTTTATTCTTGAAGAGTGAGGGATACATTATTTGGAAAACACTTGTGCTATTATAGTATAGGTATTCTTTTTAACAATGTTACCTATTACTAACATTTTTGAAGGGCTTGTTTTCATTTTTGCTTTCCCTTTTGCTCTTAGCGACATAGCATGCTTAAGCAGCAAGATCTCAATATTGCCATGATGGTGACATCGCGTGAAGTCTTGAGTGCACTTTCTCAGCTTGTCCCATGTGTTGGTTGTCGTCGCAGTGTGGAGCGCCTCTTTTCCCAGCTTGTAGAGTCAGGAAATCCTGCCCTTGAGCCTCTTACTGTAGGGCCCAAGGGAGTCCTTTCTGTTACTCGAAGCTGTATGACTGATGCAAAGAAGCTTTATACGTTATTTTATGTGCATGGGTAAGTTAAACAAAGGAAAATGGCTTGCTTAAATTGAGATTTTTGACAACTACTTTCAGAAACTGGATAAAATCTTTCACATATTTGCCTAAGAAGCTTGTCATTGTCTGCCAGTGGGGCATGTATGTGGATGCTGATTTTGAAATGATATAATAGTCAAAATAATGCTTAGCATAGTAAAGGTTTTTTACTAGTTTGGGAACGTAGCTTTGGGAAGATAAGCCGTTAGACTTGCCAGGTGACTAGAGATGGTGATGCTTTTCAGTGTTAGAGAAGAAAAAAACTGTATATATTTAAGTAGTATATGTATTTTCTTCATTTAATCACATTTTGATGTAGTATAGGAGTTCTTAGTCTAGAGCCAATGAACTTTTTTAAAAAATATTTTGAGAACTGCATTTTGGTATCATGAGTGTTCTTTATAATCCTTTGTATTTTAGTTTATATATCTATAACATTTGCTCATAGGTATCATCAGACTACCAGAGGGGTCTGACACCAATGATGTTAAGAACTCTTGGGTGTACAGTAGTAGATAAGAGAGCCAGCCTCAGAGCCTAGAAGACCTGGGTTCAAGTCCATCCTCTTGACACTTTACTGGCTTTGTGACCCTGGACAATTCACTTAACCTTTCTGGGCCTCAATTTTCTTATCTGTAAAATGGGAATAATTATATTACCTATCTCTAGGATTGTTGTGAAGACTAAATGCAATAGTATGTGTAAAAGGCTATATATAATTGCTATCTATCTATCATCATCATCATCGTCATCATGGCAAAAACTAAAATGATTAAACTCTTCAGAAGAGAAATTTGCATTAATAAAAACTCATCTAATAGTTTAACCTTATATTGAGTGATTCATGGATCCAGTATGGAATGGTATATAGTCTTCAGTATCTGAGTAATCCTTGACATATTTACTTTTATATAGGTCCAAACTAAATGACATGATAGATGCAATTCCAAAAAGTAAGAAGAACAAGAGATGTCAGTTGCACTCCTTAGATACACACAAACCAAAACCTTTGGGGTAAGTTTGGTTGAACACATAGATTCTATTTATCATTGTTAGAATTCTAAGTATTAGGTAAACTCAGTTGTCATTGGCCAAGAAAAAAATGAATTTCTTCACATAGTTGATTGTACATTTTCCACAAATGTCAATCTTCTAAGACCTTTTACCTTGATATTTTGAATACATTTGATCATAAAGTATATTTTTGCATTAGAACTTTTAAGTTTTTAGAAGGGAATTGATCCCTAATATAATTGTTATTAATTTTATTTTAACCAATAAGAATAGGAATATATTTCTTTGACCCATTTGGATCCTGGAAATAGCTTTAAGTATAAATGGTTGTTTCCTTTAATTGTTCTAATGACCTAACTTTTACATGTAAACCATTCTTCAGAGTTAATAATATCTAAGGCTGCCCCTTCTTGATTAAATCACTATTGAGTCATTTTCAGAAGTTAGTTCTAGGGACATAGGCCTAATGGATGGTTCTTCTGCCTATTTCCTAGTATCCTTCCATGATAGGACAAACTATCCTAGGTAGTTACTGGGAAGCGGCCCCTGTTTATCTAGGATGGAATATAAATTAAAGTTAGGCTTTTTCTTTCATCTTTTAAAAATCAAGTTATGTCAAGAAAAGGAGTGTGATTAGTACCACTGTATTAAAGGTTTAAAAGAAATTTTAGACTTTAAAATAAACTGAATTAGAGTTAATAATCAATTTTAATTCTTTCTTGATTTGATCTTCAGTACATTCTCTTATATTGTAAGAAAGGGTGAAATAAATGCACCACTCACTTTATATGTCTGTTGTTGTTGTTACTTTTTCTTACCATCTGAGGTAAACTATATGTGCTGCCTGGTGTGGTTTTCTACTTAGACAAGGAACTAGCTTCTCCATGAGTGGCCTGTTAACCAAAATTGTATTGCCATCTGGTGTATAGTTTGAGTTTAGAAGTCAGGCCTTCAAGGTATTCTAGTGGTGTTTTTAGTTCATGCTTTTAGGTGCCACCTAAACCTATTTGATTACTAAGTAGAGGGATCTAAGTATGTTTTAGATCTACCTAAATCTATTCTTACATAGGTTAAGGCAGATCATAAATAAAATCTATGTATGAAGTGTTTGAAGATAAAGACCATATAGCCTGCTACAATCTAGTGAAATTTAATCTGATTCATAGCTACTTTTCTTTCTAGGTAAGACATAACTGTTGGACTAATTTTAAAGATGTGATTTAAAAAAAATTATTATGAGACTCTTTAGTTAATATTTTGATGTATAATCTTTTAAGTAGAAAAATATAATGCATAAAAATGTTGTAGGCCCTTTTGGCTTGATGATAATTCTTATTAACCACCCACTGCTTATCTTAGTGTTAACCTTTTCATACTTAATCACAAATCTTTTGTAGAAAGATAAAATCTTAATTCTTCTTTAGTTTATCTCAGTATCACTGAATACTTGAAATGCATTAGTTATTTTAAAGCACTGAAGTAAGGTCAAATTCCATTACCAAAAAAAAACCCTGTTATAACTTAAAGACTTATAAGAACCCTTAGCTAGTGACCTACTTATTCTGAGCAGTTGTTGTTAACAATAATATTACAGTACTCCTAACAAATTTGAAGAGTATCTTAGAGTTCATTGTAATAGGGTTTGACCTATATCTCTTAGGTTGTAGTTCAAAACAGATTTAGCTTATTGTATACTTTATAGCTAAAGATTTGTGAGGCTTTGATTTTATATTTGTCTTTTAATACTACTGTACTACAGTGAAGGGAGCAGTAACAGTGTCAGTTCAGAGAAGCTAAGTACAGATAAGAAAAGTAGTGAAGACCACAGGAAGGACAGCAAGTGTAGGATCATTTTCCATTATGGACCTTTCCAGGGAACAGCCAGGTAAAACAAAGCAATCCTTCATCCTGTTTTTGAATGTGCTGTTGTTCATATGTAGTCATCATTTATATTAGTATTCATTTTTCTTTCTGCAGAGGTTGTTGGATGGATGTGTGGGAACTAATGTCCCAGGAATGCAGGGATGAAGTAGTTTTAATTGATTCTAGTTGTCTTTTAGAAACGTTAGAAACCTATCTACGAAAACACAGGTAAGTCTTAAGATAAAATGTAGTAATGTTATTAAATGTCTAATACGCCTATCCCTCATTTGTTCTCATGAAACATTTTCCAGCATGATTTTCAAAATGACTAGCTATAAGTTAACAGCTGTAGCCCTTCATATGTAATGGTATGGCATAGTGGCTAAAGAGCTAGCCTCATAGCCAGGAAGACCTGGGGTGTAAGTTCTGCTTCTGAAACATACTGGCTGTGTAGCCCTGGGCAAGTCCTTTAACCTTTCAGTGCTATAGGCACTGAGTGCCCACTAAGATCTTAAGTTACAAAGCCACCTGCAATCATTCATAAATAGGCAGCACTCTCCAGGTGTTGCAGATAGCAGAAGGCCAGATATAGTGGTATACCCCTGCTCCCCAAATATAATCTGGGGCCCTGTTTCCCCCATCCCTTCCCTAGCCACACTGGGGGAGCCTTATCACTCAGTGATGTTTATTAAGCTGCATACTATGTTCCAGGCATTGTGCTAGGCACTGGGGATACAAAAATAAAAATGAAACACTCCTTGCCCTCAAGGAGCTTACCCTCTATCAGAAGAGGAGACCACATGTACATAAGTGTATACAAAACAAATACAAGGTCATTTTTGAGGTGAATTACTAGAAACTGGGAGATCAGATCAGAAAGAGTTTTATGTAGAATGTAGCATCTGAACTAAGCCTTGAAGAAAGCAAGGAATTCTAGGAAGTTGGAGGTGTGGAGAGAGGAGTGAATTCCAGGTGTATCAGCCTGTGTAAAGCATGGAGATGGGAGAGACAAAAAATTCAGTTTGGCTGGACCAAAATGTATGAAGGGAAGCAATGTGTGTTGTTGGAAAGGTACGTGGGAGCCAGGTTGTGAAAGGCTCTCTGTGCTAAACACAGTGTTTGATCCTAGAGGTGATAGGTAACCATTGGAGTTTATTAGATCAACTAAGTGGCATGTCAGATCTCTGCTTTAGGAATATCAATTTGGCCTTAGCGTGGAGGATGGAACAAAGTGGAGAGACTTGAGGCAAGGAGATCAATAAGGCTTCTATAGTTTAGGTAAGAGGTTAGAGTCTGAACGAGGGGGAGGATTGTGTGAGTAGAGATAAGGGGACAGAAGTGAGAGATAATGAGGTAGAAATGACAAGACATAGGAACTGATTAGATATGTGGAAAGAAAGAGAATGAAGAGTTAAGGATGATGCCAAGGGAAGATGGTGGTACCTTTGACAGAAATAGGAAGTTTAGATGAGTGGATTTTGAGAAAAAGATGAATTCTTTTTTGGACATGTTAGTTTGAAATGCCCACAATCATCCAGTTTGAAAGGTCCAGTGGGCATTTGGTGATATAGGACTGTAGCACAGAAGGGAGCTAGGGCTAGAAACATAGTTCTCTTGACTAGAGATAATAAATATATCCATGGAAGCTGCCAAGGTCACTGGAAGTGTGTGTAGAGAGAAAAGATGATCCAGTAAAGGACACTGAGAAGTAGTCAGAAAGGGAAGAATCAAAAGAATAGGTAGTGTCATGAATACTCAGAAGATAGTGTGCATCTAGGAGGAGAAGGATAGTCAATAATGTCAAGTGCTGTTTACAGGCCAAGAAGGATAAGGATTTTGAAAAAGCTCGGGTTTGTCGATTCTTGGAGAAAGCAGTTTTAGTTGAGTGATGAACTCATAGCCAGATTGCAAAGAGTGGAGAAGAGAAGAAGGCAAAGTAGTTTGGCTGTGAAAGGGAAGAGAGATAAAGGTCAGTCACTTAAAGGAGATGGTAGGGTCCAGTGAATTGCTGGTCCCCCAGTCCCCCGCACCTCCACTTCCCTCCCCGCCAAGTTTAGGACAGACCTGGACATGTTTGTAGACAGTCGGAAAGAGCCAGGAGAAAGGTTGAGATTAAACATTTGATCTGGAAGGGGAATGGTTGTGGGGCAGTCTATTGGAGGAGATGGGGAAGTGATGGGATTAAGTTTGTAGAAGGGCTGGCCTTGGGCATAGCAGTATCTCCCAGCCACCAGACCTGCTTTCAGCCCAGCTCCTACAACCACTGTTGAGGGAGAAATCATTGTGGAAAAGGGGCCCACCTTCCTCATCACCACCAACTACTGACTGACTGCCACCAACAGCACTGGGACTAGTAGTACCCCCAGATCACTGGTCCTACATTCCAGCCCTCACAGCCATCATCTAGGGAGGCAGCTCCTATGGAAAAGGGGCCAGTCATCCACCAGCTTCCAATCAATTGCTACACACAGGGCAGGCAAACCAGCCTAGCTGAAGCAGCAAGGCACCCTGAGGGAGAAACAGGCAGCATGTGCCAGGCAAGTCAAACTGCCATCTTGACACCATCTTCCCTCAGACCTTGATGGGGACAGCCCAGGACCCTGAACCCAAGAGTCTTTGGAATAGCAGTGTTTCCAAACCAATGTCCACAGCTGCCATCCTGAGAAGCAACCCTTGTGGAGATGCAGCTGGGCAAGTGCTCCTGCAGGTGCTACAGCCACATCTTTGGAAGACCCCAAAAAAGAAAGTTCTTGTCACCAGAGCTGTCAAATGGTTTATCGACAGAAACTGATAAGATACTATGACTGGAAATGACATTAAAGAAGAGACATTAACATCTGCTTTGCTGCTATACTCTAAGGAACATGAAACCTTTCCATCTGATGTACAGTTGAAACCTTCCATATGTGTTGTCTCCCCCATTAGAATGTGAGCTCCATGAGAGCAAGGACTGTCTTACTTGTCTATTTGTATCCCCAGCAGTTAGCATAGTGGTTTGTACATAGTAAGCACTTAATAAATAGATTATTCATTCATTAATTCCTTGTAGAAAAGAAAACAAATGCCTTGACAGCAGGGCCTTGTCTCTAAATACTATTTAAAAATGAAGTTTTAAAGAGACTTGAAGCCTGTCCTCTACCTCTTACCTCTTACCTCATAACTCACCTAAAACATTTATTAAGTGCTTACTATGGGCAAGACCCTGTAGGTACAAACTATTAATTAGCTATTGTATAGTGTTTCTCACATTTATGCCTCTGGGATAGATTTTTTTTTAGTCTTTCTCATTGATAGTAAAACATGATTTAGAATTATTTGAATTCAGGAATTTTTTATTCATCTTAGTCTTTCCTTTAAGTCCATTTGTATTGAGTATGTGGTCATATCTACTTTGAATGATTCTTAGAAACAATATGTAAACTACTTCTAGGAAAACTTAGAGCAGATAATTAGGAGTAATTAGTATTGCAAAGAGCTATCTTTTACTCCTGTAAAGAAAAAAGCTGATTTTAGAGCTAGCCCTCTAAATTTTCAGGTTAAGTTTTTACTATAACTGCCTCAGTTTTAGTACTAGGTTGTAGAATATAATATCTTTGTGGCTTACTCTATTCAGCAAATAGATTTCTCTTCAGTGAGTTTGTGTTTTGAGGAGGAGGGGTAGTATAGACAAGAATAGTAGTTCCCTTCTTCAATCATATGCTCTACTTTTACATATATCTTCCAGTTTCTCTTAAACTAAGGTAATATATAGATGAATTTTGCTGAGATAATCCTTGTCCTGCTTGATCAAGTACTTATTTTCTTTGAGCTCATGATCTGAAGTATTGTATATCTGTAGTTAATAACTGCACTGTTTGTGTCATGTTTTATATTTACATGAAGGATGCCTATCCTCAATTATAATAGAGAAAGAAGGATAACTCAAGTCAAGAATTCTTGCTTTTTAAGCGGTATTTTTGGGCAGGTATTGGAATTGAGGACAATTACATTGACTGACTGTAAGAATTTTCTGTCAGTTCCTTATTCTGATGGTTCTCCTGCCTTACTTGCCAATAAGAGAAATTTTCTTCTAAACCCTGCCTTCTGCCTTTTGAATGCAATAGTCACTAAAGAGCTATATCATAAAAGAAATTATTGCCTGTTTTCTAAAATGCCTTCAATTTTAACATCTGTTTCAAATGTAAACTAAATTATTTGTCATAATTAACTTTCTGAATTATATACTGGGGGGAGGGAAGGGGAGAATAGCTCAGGTTAATCAGAACTTTTATTTTAGCATTTAATTTGTCTTCTGCCTGACTTTTACCAGAGTTTCTAAGGTGCAGCAAAGATAGGGAGGAGGATAAGCAAGTTGTTATGGATAGGTTGCAAATTGCATAATTCACTCCTGGAAGAGACTTTTCCCAAGATAAGCCCAGTAGTGAGTGTTTGAGTAACTGTTGCGTGTCAAATTCTTGATTTGAAACATCTCAAATCCTTATTTTTTCCTGTGTTTCTAAATCTTATTGAGAGATGGTTTGAATTTTAAGATGTCATTTCTCAGCCTCTTTGTAGAAAATCATAATATATATTTAATTAATATCCAGATAGTTCCCCTCATTTTTTTTTAAGCATCATCTACTTTTATGTGAGCTTTCCTGAGTACAAAGCAGTAAATGTTTCATTGTGTACTACAGAGTGTCCCAAAAATCTTAATGCAATCTTAAGCTTTAATAGCTTAAAATAGACTTTTGGGACACTCTATATTAGTGGACTGAGTTCTATGATATTGCATCATTAGAAGATGTGTTAACTGTAAAATTGTCTTCTTTAAGTGACTGAGCAAACTCTGAGAATCACTATTACTCATGCAGAGTGCTATTTGCTTCTGTGCTTACAGTACTGCTATTAAACACATACTTTAATCCTTCCTCTGTATAGCAAAATTTTAAGAAGCAAAAACGAAGAAACAAAAATTGTACTTCTAATAGTCTGGTATTTAGCTGTCTACATAGCCTTCTGAAAAAAAATAAAAAAATGCTTCACTGTCATTGCTGATTTTCTTTTTTTTTAAAAGGCTGATGAACTTAGAAGTGACAGTGCAAGTGTCAGTCTCTTTACCAGGTCTACTAAAATGCTTGAATTTGAAAAAGTATACTTTGAATCAATGAATGAAAAAGTATTTATTAAGCACATAGTATGTGCTAAGAACTGTGTTCTTGTTAAATGTTGGGGATACAAATAAAAAAGCAAAGACAGTCCCTGCCCTCAAAGAGCTTATATTCTAAATGGGGAAATAACACATAGGAAAGGTATGGTCAGGGAAGGGCAGTTTTGTTCCTGATAGTTAAAGGGATGGTGAATGGGACAGAGGGGAGTAGAATAATACCCCCCTCCAGCACCAGAAGTGGAGTTGGGGGCTGGGGTAGAAAAAAAGGGATGCTTACCCCTATTTGGTAAGGAAGTTGTGGAAGAGGGGGCCTGAGTAGAGGGAGTAATGAACATAACACCTATTTCTTTCAATTACATGTACATATACATGTACATATACATGTACATATACATACACATACACACATGCACACTTTAGATTGACAGTTCTCAGCCAGATGCTAATACTCCACATCATGACAAGATTTTCAACTTAAAAAATATTAAGACATAAGGAACCTAATCTTTTTTCTCTTATTTAATAATAATACTAGCATTTCTATAGCGCTTTAAGGTTTGCAAAGCGCTTTACATATGTTTAATCCTCACAACCACCCTGTGAGGTAGGTGCTATTATCCCCATTTTACAGATGAGGAAACTGAGGCTGAGAGAGGTTAAGTGACTTGCCCAGGGTCACACAGCTAGTAAGTGAGGCAGGATTAGAACTTAGGTTTTCCTGACTCCAAGTCCAACACTTGTAATAAATTGTTTGTGTAAAGAACTTTAAAACCTTACAGAAAATTTTAAACTGTTTGATACATTAAAATGTATATTTTAATGGAAACTAAAATTCATCTGTTCATTCAACATATTCCTCGAGGCTTGCTTAATGATGTAGATTGAGAAAAATGTCTTCATCATTATGCTAATCTATTAAATGAGGCAGAGTGAAGTAGTAGGACCCTGTACTGGGCAGAATTCAGGAGACCTGAGTTCTAGTCCCTACTCTATCACGAGCTCTGTTTCTTTGAGCAAGTTGCCTTTTCTTGGTCTCAGTTTTCTCATTTGTAAAATAAGGGAATTGGACTAAATGATCTCTTAAGATCCCTTCCAGTACTAACATTCTTTTGAGTCTACATCATAGCCAATTCTTATTTTGACTGCTTGCCTTTTTAAATTTTTACTAGGTTTTGTACTGACTGCAAAAATAAAGTACTTCGAGCATACAATATTCTTATTGGTGAGCTTGATTGCAGCAAAGAGAAGGGTTATTGTGCTGCACTATATGAAGGCTTGCGGTGCTGTCCACATGAACGACACATACATGTATGCTGTGAAACAGATTTCATTGCACATCTGTTGGGTCGAGCTGAGCCAGAGTTCGCAGGAGGGTATGAGTATGTAATTTGCTAGAATGGGCTATCTAGCGCTTTGCTTCTTTATTTTATTACCGAAAGTTTGTTTCTAAGCCTTGTAAATAAATCTCTTCTGCACCTTTGCCTCATTACATATGCTTAGATATAAAGCCTATGTTTTGAAGTCAGCCTTCATAATACATGTTCTCTTGGTTCTGTCTGTTGATACAGAAATATACATTTCTTTATTCTATGACTAAAAATAGGAAGAAAATGGTTTGTGACTATTGGTTCAGTTCCATGCTCCAAGTTGGATCAAAAGGAGATGGACATTTTTTTGTTATAGGAATGTAATTTTTTCAGTTGAAATGATCTAAAAGTGACTTTTCCATTCATGTGGAATTGTAAAGCTTTAGTCTGGGTAATTGCTGTGAATGGGCCTCCAATAGTTTATGGAAAAACCACTTTTGCTAATGTTGCTCAAGATTATGGGCTTGGCAGCAGGGTGTCAGCACTTTGGATAGAATTGCTGTGTTTTAAAGGTAAGCAATTCATGAACTGTGCATGCTCCTTTAAATTTAAGAAAGGAAAACAAAACCTCCAAACTAAATGTGATCTTTGGCTAGGTATCATGAAAACAAAATTAGAAAAAAATAAAGATGGTCACTTGTTTTAATTGAGCACATTCTTAATCCTTTCATCATTTTGTGTGTGGGTGAACTAGTTTTTCATTTTAGGATCACTTCTCTTCTATAAGAGATATAGCTGAATAATTTAGTTCTTATCCCTATCTTCCTGCTTCCTTAATGTTCCATTTCTTTGAAAAGTTCCAGGTTTTTTGTCATTAGCAAAAACAAAAACAAAAAAAAACACTGAATGAGCTGTATTTGACTGGGTAATTCCAAAGTCCTATTTGCTACATAGAATTGTGTTCAAGTGCCAGTTCCTGAATTACCATCCTTTTTAGCTGTAGTAAGATTTAAGTCTCACATGTGTGTTTCTGTGTCCTTGGTATCACAGACATGCATGTATGTTTACATATGCATAGATATACACATCTGTGTATATTTATAGACACCTAGCTTTCTTACTACATATTAGTGTTCAGGTTGTGTTAAAATATAAACTTGATGACACAGAAAGCATTAATGTGCTACATTTATTAGAAAGTCACTGCCTGATTTTAATGCTTTATAGGCGGAGGGAAAGGCATGCTAAGACAATAGACATAGCCCAAGAAGAAGTTTTGACCTGCCTGGGTATTCATCTTTATGAACGACTGCATCGAATCTGGCAAAAACTACGGGCTGAAGAGCAGACATGGCAGATGCTTTTCTATCTTGGTGTTGATGCTTTACGCAAGAGTTTTGAGGTATGGAGGGGAGCTGTTTCAGTATCTGAGAGGGCTTGATCAAAATAGTGGACTGAATCTTAAACTGGGAAACCAGTTAATTTTCCTCTCTTAGCATTTGTGGCTGATAGGCATTATAGGGGTGTTTGGTCTTTTTGGGGTGGGGAGACCTAGTTTTCCTCTCTTTTCTGATCTACCTGCTACTTTTTTACTCCCAGTCTACAAAATAGAGACTAGTGATTAACAGGATTTTGTGAGAGGACTCGTAAAAGATTGCAAAGCCCATGGCAATGTACAGCTGTCTAAAAGCATATATAATAAAACCTTAAGTACATTTTGCCCAGTTTAAATTTAAGATGTTTCCCTTCTTCCACTGTTTTATCATTTAGCTTTCTCTGTCATATCTCCTTTTGGTGGTTTTTTTTTTTTTCCTATTACACTCAAAGTCTCTCCCTTCTACTTCCCCCACCTCCTTTTAAATAATTTATAACATCTTTTTAGCCTTATCATATTATCTAATTTAACCTTTCAGAACACAGCCACTAGTTTGGAAGCTGTAGACCCTAGTTTACCTGATTTCTTGTTTCATTATTATTAGATGGAAAGCTATTCCAAAGTCAAAAATTTTCAATTATACTTTGAGAGAAATAAATTTAGTTATTAAATATCCCATTGTGATATGCCTTAGGGGTTGATCTTTTGTGGTTGTTGTTCAGTTATTTGAGTTGTGTCCAGCTCTTTATGACTCCGTTTGGGGTTTTCTTGGCAAAGATATTGGAATGTCTTTGCTGTATCCTTCTCGAGCTCATTTTGTGTTTTGTTTTGTAAAAATTTCTTAAGTCTTTTAACTTGTTCTGTGTTTCACTCTTTCCCTTTTATATCTTCAGAAACTAAACTTCTAACAGAATTTGGCTATCTTTAAAACCCAGAATCTGCATTTTAAGAAGTAAATTGAGATACAGTTATATTTACTTTGGTGTGTTGAAATGTTAAAATATTGTTGACTGAAGTAAGATCGTGTGTCGGGAGGGGAAGTATGTTGTCAGATTACATTATTTTTTTTTTCCCCACTATATTTGAAGATTGGCCTTATGGGGGAATCTTTTGGAAAATTTATAAAATCTTTAGTGGAAGCTAATTTTTGAAATGCATTATTAGTTTTTATCTGATTAACATCTTAAACTGCCAAATTAGAGAAAGCTATTATCCAATGGCATAATTTTTTATTTTTCTAAATAGATGGCTGTGGAAAAAGTTCAGGGCATTAGCCGATTAGAACAACTCTGTGAAGAGTTCTCAGAAGAAGAAAGAGTACGAGAACTCAAGCAAGAAAAGAAGCGCCAAAAAAGGAAGAATAGGCGGAAAAATAAGTGTGTATGTGACATTCCTGCCCCCTTGCAAACAGCAGATGAAAAGGAAATAAGCCAAGAAAAGGTAATTTTGAATCAACTCATTAATAGTTTGTGCCAAAAATTCCTTAGAGGTTACTTCCTGTAAGAGTAGTCTGTTTTTTGAGTATTCATAGTTAAATGTTTTATTTTTTACTTTTCTTTTGGATTTGAATTTTGCATCATTTTGCTACCAAATACCAAAATAGGTAGTAGTAGAGCTGAGTTAGAACAAGAAACATAACATCTTTTTGTTTTGTAAACTTGAATTTTCTAACTTTAAAGATAAAATCAAGTAGATTTGTCAGCCCACCCTTCCATAATGGGATAAAGTAAAAACTCATATGTTTGACCCACTTGAAATGATTAGGTCTTGAATTTGTCTAATTTCTAATTAATGGCTATCAAAATGAGGAATACAGTATCACTGCTTTAGAAGATGATGATTAATAATAACACTAATACTAATAACAACAGAAACCTGGAGTAGGGATTAGAGAGCAGGTCTGAAAGCCAGAAATGCTTTTGTAAATGTTTACTCACAATTGTGCAGTTTGGGGCTTATATTAGTTGAATGTTCTAGAGTATTACTAAGCCATTTCTCCTTCCTCCCCATCCCTTTGCATTACAAATGCTAAGAAAACTATTTAAGTGGCTTGTATAATCACTTCTGCCTTGATTCTTTAAGGAGACAGGCTTTGTGGAAAACAGCTGCAAAGCCTGTGGCAGTACAGAAGAAGGTAACAGATGCGTAGAAGTAATTGTTACCAATGAAAACACCTCGTGTACCTGTCCAAGTAGTGGCAATTTATTGGGGTCTCCTAAAATAAAAAAAGGTGAGCTGTTAAGCATGTATTCTTTAAGTTTGTTCTCATTTATCTTTAGATGGAAGAAAATAAAGTCATAGATCTTTTTTCTTAGTTCTGAGAAAATTATGTTAAGTACAAGTGCAAATTATACTGTAACGTCTGATTTATTCTCAGGTTTATCTCCGCACTGTAATGGTAGTGATTGTGGATACTCATCTAGCATGGAAGGGAGTGAGACAGGTTCTCGGGAGGGCTCAGATATAGCCTGCACTGAAGGCATATGTAACCATGATGAACATGGTAGGTTCAGGATGAACTTCTTGTTTATTTCTATTAAAGTAGCTGCTTTTCTCTAAGAGCACAATTGAGACAGTACTCCCTCTTTCAGGTGATGATTCCTGTGTTCATCACTGTGATGACAAAGAGGAAGATGGCGATAGCTGTGTGGAGTGTTGGGCTAATTCTGAAGAGAATAACACAAAAGGAAAAAACAAAAAGAAGAAAAAGAAAAGCAAAATGTTGAAGTGTGATGAACATGTAGGTGTTATAACTTGTCTATAGCAAGAAGCTCATTTTGCAGTTTTATTTTATATAATTCACAGCATCTAAAGGGATAAGTTGATGAGTAACTTGGAATCATAAAGCAAAAACAACAACAAAAAAAAAAACCCCTGAGGATCAGTGTGTTTTGTGATTTTCTAAGGTATTTAAGGAGCTGCTGTGACTTGTATTTTCTTTGTGCTCTTTTGTCATGTCAGCCCTCTTTGTCTCTTTTATTGCTCACCTAAGTGTTAGATCCCATTTCAAGGTGCTGAACTCATTCATTTTTTCTATAATCTCTCTCTAAGTACCCTTTCCACAGATTTGTCAAGGAGTCTCCTGTCTTGAGTTGTAATTAATTTACTTAATAATTAATTACTATGATTTCAGATCCAAAAGCTTGGAAGCTGTATTACAGATCCCAGTAATCGAGAGACCTTAGGAAATACCGTGCACACAGTGTTTCACCGTGACAAGACCAAAGATTCGCATGCTGAAAATTGCTGCAGCTCTGAAAAGGGTGGGCAGCCACTGCCTTGGTTTGAACATAGGAAAAACGTACCACAATTTGCAGAACCTGCAGAAGCGTCACTCAGTCCTGACTCTGGAAAAGGTGCCAAGAGCTTAGTTGAACTCCTTGTAAGTATTCTAACATGTGGTGGTATAAAGGCTGCAAATTCGGGGAGAATGATGGTGTAAAGAGAATCTGTGCTCTAGGATTTTTTTAAGTGACTAAAGTTCAGCTTTACTTTAGAAGAGGGCACAGGCTATTGTAGAGCACCCCTTCTTTGCTTCTCAAAGCTCAGAGTCTAAGGGAGGAGCTGGATTGTCCTCCCAGCCTTACCTTCCTGGGGTAGGGTAGAAGAGTTGTTGGAATTTAAGAGTAAACTCTTGTAGTTACTATATAACCTTACTTCGAGCCCTGGCAAAAAGTTAACTTCTGGTCATAACAAATGCTGTTCAGAATCACCATCCTTGAAACTTGATTACTGCTGACTGTTTCTCTGTCAGTTTATGGGAACCATTCTTCCAGACAAGTAAGGAATGTGCTGCTCAGCCTAAGTAGAATGTGACAGTCCTCTGTTGTCTCTTTTTTATGCCTTGAAGGAACATGGCAGAGCCAGGACTACAGGCAAATTATACCTGACCTCAAATGACCCAGCTTATGAGATGAAGATTGTGATATTGTTAACAATGATTAGGGCCCTTTGTGTGGTGTTGAGGAGTCAGATCTTATAATGGAATTCTTAGTGGGTTTATAATATAATACTGTCCTAGGTATAATAGAGAAGGCTGAATTTTGTTTTTCAAGAAAGTGGTACACAGATATCTATTCTGTTAGAGATTTGTTGTTGTTGTTTAGTCATTTCCCACTCTTCATGACCGTATTTTGGGGTTTTCTTGGCAGATACTGGAGTGGTTTTCCATTTCCTTCTCCAGTTCATTTTACAGATGAAGAAACTGAGGCAAACAGGGTTTAGTGACTTGTCCAGGGTCACACAACTAGTAAGAGGCCAAATTTTAACTCAGGAAGGTGGGACTTCCTGACTCTAGGCCCAGTGTTCTATTTATTCACTGAGCCACCTAGCTGCCCCTATTAGAAATTCATTGGTTATTCGATAGTTGATACTACTTGGAATCATCTTCAGTTATTTGATGTTTTCAGGTAAAGAGATAAGGGATTTGAGCTTCAGTGTCAAGCAAGCCAAGAATTTCACACCATTTGTTAGACTTATTATTCTTGAACCAGACTTGTGATTGATATAGGGAGCTCTGAGAGAGAAAAAAATTCCCTCTACCAATACAGATCAGCCCCTTCTCTGCCACTTAATCTAGGGAATTGCCTGGAGCACTAGGAGAGATTGTGACTTGGCGCGGGATATATAACTTGTTGTATATGTGAGAGTGGAACCCAGGGCTTTCTGGCTTTCAAACCTGCTCTCTAATCCCTACTCCAGGTTTCCATTGTTATTAGTATTAGTGTTATTATTAATCATCATCTTCTAAAGCAGTGATACTGTATTGCTCATTTTGATAGCCATTAATTATTTTTTATATTTAAGAGTTTGTATTTGAAACTCTTGGATATTAACTGAACTGAAACTTAAAAGCCTGGATTTTTTTTTCTTTTTCCCCTCTATCAGCATATCCTTATATTGTCTGTCCATTCTCTGTTTTACAAGTCCTAGTTTAACAGTTACTTTCCTTTGCAGGATGAGTCTGAATGCACTTCAGATGAGGAAATCTTTATCTCACAAGATGAAATACAGTCATTTATGGCAAACAACCAGTCTTTCTACAGCAATAGAGAACAGTACCGACAACATCTGAAGGAGAAATTTAATAAATACTGCCGCTTAAATGATCACAAGAGGCCCATTTGTAGTGGCTGGTTGACAACAGCCGGAGCAAACTAAAATAAATAAAATAGCTCTGTCTTTCATTGAAACACTCAAGATGACTACTGCGCCTTCTCTTTCAAAAACTCTTAATTTAGTGACTTTTGGCAGAATTTTATCTTAAATCAATGTGATTCTTTTCTCTTTTTTGTTTTCGGGGACGTTGGTGGAGGTAACTTCATTAATTTGTTCTTTCTTCAGGCTTGTGTGTTTAGTTGAGTAGCTGTGCAAGCCTGCCTTATAATTTAAGCCATCTCTTTTCATTAAATGTTTCTCTTACTGTGAGACTTACAAAAGCAACTTAGAGGCAAAAAGTAATGTTGTACTTATAATTCTGTACAGAAATGATGAGCTGAATATAAGGTTTTACAAAGTAGACATCCACTTGCAAAAAATGTTTGGATGTAATATGTTAAAGCGCAATGTGCAAAATTTAAAAATAAAGAATATTTATTAATATGCATAGTACAATTTGGTGTACATGTTTCTACTTAATGTAGTAAGTGTTTAATTTGCCAGTCATCTGACCTGGTAACTCAACCTGGTTTTGATGGGGTAGATGTTGGGGAAAATCCTCTTCAATGAACAAAAATCCTTCCCCTTGATCATTTATTCTACTTCACCTAGTTGATTTTATTTTATTTATTTATTTTTGGCTAGGCAGTGGGGCTAAGTGACTTGTCCAGGGTCACACAGCTAGTAAGTGTTACGTGTCTAAGGTCAGGTCCTCCTGACTCGAGGGCCGGTGCTCTATCCACCTAGTTGCCCCCAGCCTAGTTGATTTTATAAGACAGTTTTGATACCTTTTTTTTTTCTTAAAGGTCCACTGGAATCCCTTTAAATATACCAGTTACCTAATTTTCCTCGATACTTCACTTGCTCTTACTAATAGTGCCTTAGTACTTCTTAAATTCAAAGGTTCATATTGACCCATAAGAATGAAAACAAAACTTGGCAGACTTTGAACCAAGAATTACCTAATAGGGCAATTACTTGCCTTTTAAAGCTTAGGATCATGAGTTGCACGAAGTAGTTAAACACACTGAAGTCTGCATAAATGCATGTTCAGTCTTACCTGGTTTCTCACAATAAAGTCACTACGGCATTACAGCTTATTGCTGTCACAGGCTGCCTGTGTAAGTACTGAAGGAAGAGAAAGATTCCCTATGGAGAGGCATTTGGCTGCCAGCTTTGCACTTCTCCATTTAAAAATCTGAGTCAGTAGCTGAGTAAACACAGGCACTTGGGTGTTTTTTTTGATCTGATGTTGTACATACAGGACACTGGACAATACTAGCAGGTGATTATCGGTATCACAATACCCTTGGCATTGTAGGGTGAGGTGAATCTGATACTCGGACTTGAAAGAAATCTGACAGGCTGTGTGTAATTGTCTTTTTTTTTTTTTTTGGTTCTTAAAATGCTTTTAGTTAAAACCCATAATCTAGGGCAGAAGTTAAATGAAATCCATGATTCTCCTTTAGCTCTTTTTTCACTCTGCCTTGAAATTCTAAGAATGACCATCGTCCTGTGTACCCTCATTGTCCTGGAGAGGAAACTTGGCTGAAGTCAAGCATCTAAAATTTGAGCTAAAAGAGTTGGTGTAGATGAGTAGATGAACCCTCTCATTTTATAGACTGGTAAATGTGAGGCCCTGGAGAGCTTTAGTGACATGCTGGAGGTCATGTGGCTAGTTACAATTACAGAGCCAGGCCAATTCCTAGTTATGTGTTTTTTCCACTATTATACCTACATCTACTCCCTGCATACTCCATTCCTTGGGGGAGAAGGATCATTTGCTGTAGTTTTCACAGATTTGAGTCTTACGCCTGCCTCGGTCACTAGGAATGTGACTGGCAATTCACTTACCTTCCCCAGACTGTTACCTTGTTTTTAAAATGGGGGTAGTTCTGACCTGTGTAATTCATGAAATTGTGAAGATAAGAAAATGTTTGAAAATGTATGTGGTATTGTTCCTTAAACATTTTATAATATGTGGATACCTTGTATATACACACACTGCCCTGAGCACCCAAGTCCATGTTCTCCACAATATATCCTCTATGTGGATGTCCCACTGACACCCCAAATTCAACTTGTCTAAAATTGAATTTTCCTTTTCCCATAAACCTCTTAACTTTGGTATTTTTCTGTGGTACCACCATTTTACTCAGCCTCCCATGTTTGCAACCTTTCAATCTTTGACTCCTATTCCTTATCATTCCCAGTCAGTTACAAAGTCCTGATAGCTTCCCCAAGTCATCACCCCCTGCTTACATTGCTGCATATCCTAACAGGTCTTCCTGCTTACATTTGTACCTGCCTCCTTTCCAGGCCCTCCTTTGAGATACCACAATACTCCAAATGTAGAGCCATCTCCTCTCTTGTTCTGCCTGAGATCACATTCTGTGGTTTGTTCTTTTGTGATAGCTAGTATATACATACTGTATGAGAGAGTGTTACAGTCAGGAAGACCTGGGTTTGATTCCACAAGTCACTTGGATATATAGATTAGGGAATCATCTGCACATAGATAATAATGTGTATGAACCCATGTGAATGCATGAGATCACTCAGAGAGTGCAGAGAGGATAGCACAGGGCAGGGGCTTGGGGTACACCTAGAGTAAGGTGATGAGATATGAATTACAATTAAGCAAAGGAGACTGGGGAATGTTCCAATAGGGAGCCAGAGAACCAAGCGAGATTAGTGTCATGGAAAACCAGAGAGGAGAAAGTAACCTGAAATGTGGCACCCAGAACTGAAAACAATATTCCAAATGTGGTCTGACCAGAGTAGGATTATCACTTTTCTCATGGTCCTGTAATAATAAAGATGGTAATATTTACATAGTAATTACTATATACCAGGCACTGTGCTAAGCCTTTTACAGTTATTTCATTTGATGCTTACAACAACCTTGTGAGGTAAGTGATATGATCCCCATTTCACAGATGAGGAAATAGACAAACAGGTTAAATGACTTGCCCAGAGTCACACAGTAAGTGTCTGAGGCTGTATTTGAACTCAGGTCTTCCTGACTTTAGGACTGTATTCACTGGGCCACCTAGCTGCTACAAAAAGTGTCAGAAATGCTAAATATAGTAGAATGAGCTGAGGCTGCTGCAGGAAGCTAAGGACAACAAACATGGAGGTTTTATCTATATTGGGAGAAAAAAGATTGAAGGACTAGGCCCTTTGCTTAGGGTAGATGGGATGATAGTAACTGATAACAGAGAGAAGGCAGAGCTGTTCAATTCTTTGTGTTTGCAAAGTAGAATGACCTTTATAGATAGTTGATACACAAGATAAGTATATTGTAATAGAACACCTGGTTGCCCTTGGTATAAATTCAAACCACCTGACCCAGGTGAACTACATCCTCGGTCCTGAAAGACCCAGCCAATGTGATTATCTGAAAGAACAGGAAAGTGGGAGACAGACAACAAGATAGGAGAAGGGCAAATGTCCCAGAAAAGAGAATAGCCTTTAAACTATAAGCCAGTGAGCTTCACTTTGCTTTCTGAGGAAGTTCCAGAACCAATCACTAAAGGGATGATTAGTAAACATATAGAAAAGGAAACAGTGATTCCAAAAGCAAGGTTTCTTCAAGAACAAGTCTTGCTAGACTAACCTCATTTTCTGTTTTGACAAGATTACTAAAGTAGTAGAAGGAAGAATGCTGACATATGGCTTACCTAGATTTAATATGACTTATGTTAAAGTATTTATTCTTGTGGAGAAAATGGAGAAATATGGATTGGACAATAATAATTGGACAATCAGATGGATTCAGAACTGGTTGTCCATTCAGTGTCAATGTGAAAGAGGTCTCCAGTAGAGTACTTCAGGGATCTGTGCTTGGCCATGGGCTATTTAACATTTTTATCAGTGACTTGGATAAAGGTAGAGGTGGTATGTTGATCAAATGTGCTGATGACAAAGCTGGGGGAGATGGTGAACATAATAGATGACAGAATCCAAAAGGATCTTGACAGACTAGAGCATTAGGCCAAATAGGATGAAATTCAGTACAGATCAATGTAAAAGTCTTGCATCTGAATACAAAAAACAAAATAAAACAAAAACTTTACAAGTATAAGATAGGGAAGCCATGTAAAGACAGAAGTTGGTCTGATAAAAGATCTTGGGGTTTTGGTGGACTGCAAGCTCACTATGAATTAGGAATATGATGTAGCAGGGAAAAATGCCAGTGCTATCTTGGACTGCATTAAGAGGGGCATAACTTTTAGGAATAGAGAGGTAATAATTCTACTATATTCTGCCCTGTTCAGATCTCATTTACAGTATTATAGTTCATCCTGGGGGCCATGGTTTTAGAATGACATTGATAAGATAGAATGTGTTCAGAGAAGAACACCTGGAATGTTGAAGGGCCTTGTCATACAGGGATCAGTTGAAGGGACTGAAATGTTTAGCCTGGGGAAGAGAAGGATTAGGGAAGATGTGATTGCTGTCTTCAAGTATGTGAAGTGTTATCCTGGTGGAAGAGGGATTAGTCTTGTCTCCAGACAACAGAACCAGGAGTAATGATGATGATGATGATGATAGCTAACATTTATATAGTGCCTACTATGTGCCAGGTACTGTGCTAAACACTTTACAATTATTATTTGATTTGATCCTCACAACCACCCTGGGAAGTAGATACTATTATTATCCCCATTTTGCAGATGAGAAACTGAGGCAAACAGGTGTTAAGTGATTTTCCCAGGGGTCACACAACTAGTAAATGTCCGAGGCTGGATTTGAACTAAGGTCTTTCTGACTTTCTGCTTCATCACCTAGTTGCCCGAAAGGGGTAGAAGCTGCAAAACAAAAAACAAAAAAAAAAAAGTGCATTTAGGCTTGATTTGGTAAAAAAACAAAAAACCCAAAAACCTCCTAACAATTACAGCTGTCCCAAAATGGAATAGGTTGCCTCTAGATTTGATGTTCCTTCTCCATGGAGGTTTCAAATAGAGTCTGGTTGACCATTTGTGGGGGTATAATTGAGGATTCCTTTTCATGTATGAGTTTGACTAGATGACCACTGGTGTATATCTTCCAACTCTGAAATTCTATGATTTCTAGGTTCAGCCTTTCCAGTCTCTCCCCTCTCCAGTCCATCCTCCATGCAGATACCACCATAATAGTAATAAAATATGTCTTATGTCACTCCTCTGCTCAAAAATCTCCAGTGGTTCCCTATTGCCTATAACACAACTCCTCTATTTGTCATTTAAAGCCCTTCATCATGTTTCCAGCTTACCTCTCTAGACTTGTCACACACTCTCCTCCATACATACTACATTTCTGCCAAAATGGTCTGCTCACTATTCTTCATGCCCAACATTGTATGTGCCACCTCTGTATAAAGCTTTGCACAGAGCCTGCAATATACTTCCATTTTGCCTACGCCTTAGAAACATGGAGCCTTTCTTGACCTCCCCAATTTCCAGTATCTCCCCCCAGAAATGACTTTGTATTTACTGTGTAAGTGTGTATTACGTGTATACATTAGCTTATCTATTTACCAACATGTGCCTGTGTTGTTTCCCCAGTTAGAATGTAAACTTTCTGAGGGCAGGGACTGGTTTGTTTTTGTTTCCACAAACCCACCCAGAAACACAGGGTTTGGCCACATATAAGGTGCTCAATAAATACCTGTTGATTGATTGTGATGGGTTTTGAGACTGTGCTTTACAAGGATCTGTAGAAAGAACTGGGAATATTTTTCCTAGGGAAGGTAAAATCTGGTTGGGAGAGGGAGGATACTTGATTTCTACCTTCAAGTATGTGAAGGAAAGAGATTTGAATTTGAAGACTTATTCTGCTTAGTTGTAGGGAACAGAATTCAGAGGAATGGAATAGTAGAAAGATAAGGAAAAACATTTCTAAAAGAATGTAATAGATTGCCTCCGGAGGTCTTCAGTTCACTCTCCTTAAAAGGCTTCAAGGGAAAGTGGGGTGGTCACTTCTTAAAGTTGTAGACAGAATTCTTGGCCAGATTTGGCTTGTACTGATTCTCTGGCCTCAGAGGTCCCTTCTCAGGCCACCTGTCCACAGCAGGGATCACAGCCTGAAGGAACTTCTTCCCCTGGGGTCACACTCTTTGGATTATTGCCTGCTTCTTTTGGAGCACTATTTCAGGAATGCTTCATTTCATTCCCTTCTCTCAGGTCATCTCCTTTACCATCTCCTCACTAACATCTAGCCCTACCTGTGCATTCTTTCCTTCACTGTCTCCAGTTCTTGATTTCCTGAACCATGAATGATCAGTCAGTCAACAAGCATTTATTAAGCACTTACTATATATCTGGAACTATGTTAATCATTGAGTATTCAAAGAAAGTCAAGAGCCTGGTCCCTGATCTTAAGGATCTCATTCTTGTGGTGGAGGGGAGAGACAGGAGACATATAAATAATTATGTACATACAAGATAGAGTGTAAATGGAAGGTAATAACTACCATTTATGTAGCATTTTGAGGTTTGCAAAGCACTTCACAACTCCGGGAGGTGGGATGTGAGCTGTCTTAATCATCCCTGATATTGGTGTTACTACCCTATAGTCCCATCTAGCAATGTTCAGACCCAAACTTCCCCATCCCTGGCCACCATTCCCCTACATGTTTTCTTCATCAAAATGTAAGGCACTTGAGTACAGGGCTGTCTTTTGTATTTATACCCTCAATGGCTAGCAGAAGGCTCGGCACATAGGAAATGCTTAATATTTTTTTCATTCATTCACTCATTCATTAATTCCGTTCTTTACTCCCTCCCCCTCTTTGCCTTCAGTATTCCTATCTATCCTTTAAAGCTCAACTCAAATATCACTCTTTCCCAAAGCCTTCCTTGATCCTTCAATATTGACCTTAGACATGACAGCCCTATTTTGCAACTCTCTAATGCATGTGACATACTGTGTATTATCTCTCTTCTATCCTCTACTGGCATCTACGTTCCAAAGGTTGCATCTGTCCTTGTGCTTAGCACAATACACTGCACTTTTCCCCTCTTGAATCTTGCAGTAGGTTCATTTTGAATGTTTGCTGAATGAATAACCAATCATCCATCCTAATCTAATTTATCAACATCCCTTTGACGACATATCACCTTCAAACTTTTGAGAGTTAGAATGCAAAAAGAGCACCATTCTGGCCCTTTTCTCCCTTCTGATTGTAAAGATTTTGGGGGTGGGGAGGGGAAAGGGAAAGGCAGGTTTTAAAATAAGAGAAGGCAAGGAGTGAGGTGGATAAATAGATGAAGCATAAGCTTAGGAATCTGATGATCTGCTTTTGCCTCTTGGTCTCCCTTGTGGCACATTTCCTGTTTTATGTACAGGGCAGTGGAGGACTATTTAATTCCATGCCCAGGCTAGGGCTCATCATTTTAGGAGAGAGGTTCCTGGTTCTAAAACCAATGACAAGTTATTTTCAGTTATGACCTTGAATCTTCACTTACTCCACCCTCCTTGGGAGAGAAGACTGGGGAAGAGCTTTTCTTAAAGTTAACCAGCAGGGTGGAGGTTCTACCTTCCTTTAGTCAGTGGTTGATTGCTTCTGGGATGAGGTCACGGGCACTTGGAGTGCCTTAGCAGAAAAGCATACAGATGAAGAGAAGAAAGGGTTGGGCTCTCCAGTTCACAGATTCCGAGCTGTCTGGCAACCCTAGAGATCATCCAGTCCAACTCTCTAATTTTATACAGAAAATGAGGCTCTGAGAGGTTGCGACTTCCCCGGGTCACACAGATAGTTAAGTATTAGAGTTGATATTTGACTGTAGGGTTCTCTTCCTCATTCTCTAGTTCTTCTCATTATTCTTTCTCCCACCCTCAAAAAAACCCCCCATGAATAGTAGCTAACACTTAAAGAAGACTTTCAGGTTAAAAAAAAAAAAGCTTTAAGCATAACCTATGAAGTAGGTATTATATTTATTCTATTTTATGATGATTTATGATTCAGATGAAACTGAGAAATGATTGACAATGTTAGAGCCAGCCATCTGAACCCATTTGACTCCTGATAGTCCAGCAGTTTTTTTTCTCTACTTTCCCCACCTCTTGTCCAGTAGAACCCCCTCCTCCTGTCCAAGATCCCTTCTTCCATCTTCCCAAAGCCCTAGAACCGGAAGCTCTCTCTAAAAGCCTTTAAGGGAAAGTAGGCTGAACACTTGTCCCAGCCTAACAACCCAACACGACTCTCCACATGCTACGTCCTTATCTTCTCTCTCTGGACCCTGAACCCAGGACGATTCCTAGTAAAGAACACTCAACTTGGACCTTACTTCTGGCACATAGGAAGGTGAAGAGGATTTCTGTGGAACATTTTCTCCTCCCTTCTTCTATTGAATTTGGAGTCCAAGGACTTGAGTTCGAATTACATACTTACATATTGAATGTAGATATATGTTCACATAACTTATAATAGCTAGCATTTACATGGAACTTTGAGGTTTGCAAAATGTTACAAATTTGATTTTCACCACAACTCTGGGACATAGGTGCTATTACTATCCTCATTTTACAGAAGTGGAAACTGAGGCAGGCAGTGATTAACTGATTTACCCAGGGTTATGCTGCGATTTGAGGCAGGTTTTGAACTCGGGTCTTTTGTGTCCACAAAGTCCAATTCTCTATCCACTGCACCATTTAGCTGCTTCTTATATGAATGTTTAATGAGTAGGTTTGCTGAACGGTCACTGGTGCACTAAACTTGGAGTAGAGGAACCCGAACTCAAATTCCAGGTTCTGCCACCGTCATACCCCCACTGAATGTCGACGCACGTGGGCAGAATGGTCACCAATGTGACTTGTATGCCCTTGGGCAAGTCACTTCCCCTCTGTAGGCCTTAGATTCCTCCTGTGTAAAGTGAAGGGATTGGATTTGATGACCTCGTAAGTACTTTTGAGTCCTCGTGATAGGACCCCTTCCCCACCTCCACCCCTTCTTCTGGCTTTGGATTAGGGGGCAGGCACAACCTTTGCGCCCCCTGGGTTGCACACCTGCGCCCCAGAGCCGTCGGAGGCGGCGTGAGGGTCCAAGGTGTCCAGGCACGAGTCCTGCACCGGGAAAAGGTGGGCTGGGGCGGAGACCCCGCGACCCAGAACAGCGCCTGAGGCGAAGCCGAAGAGGGCGACGCCTTCTGCCTCGCGCAGGGAGCGGAGCTTCTGGCAGGAGGGGCGGGGCCGAGGCCGACGGCTCCTTCCACCTCGTGCTGGGGGCGGGGCTTTTGGCCAGAGGGGGGCGGGCAAGTCGTCGCTCTCGCTCTGGGGGCGGAGCCTCGGGCCAGGCGGGCGGGGAGACGGTGGGAGGCGCGGGGCGTGGAGAAGGCAGCGGCCC